GGATTTGTTTACCGTTGAATTTCCTCTTCTAAAACAGAGCTTTTACTGAAACAGCCAATTTTAGGCAGCGGGTTTAAGCAGACGATATGACAAGCAAAAGTTAAGATTTATGATACATTAAATATAAAATATTTAGCATTTATTAAACCAATTTTCTAATCAAACAAATATTAGCAATTTAGTCTTGCAAATTGTTCATTGACTTTGACTAGTATGAGACCACTGAATACATGGGACTCCACATGTCATTTTAAATCTGTAAATTAAAGAAAATAAATATAAAGATGTTTTCTTAGAGACATGTCACTATGAAGGAAATGTATATGCAATGTTTAAGATACTACATTATTTCTGAGTCACTAATCAAAATTTGTGACATTGATCATGTGAACTCAAACTAACAAACTGATGTACTTATATGATGGCAATGTAGGGCTTGTCCTCTCAGTTTCAGTTTACCTCAGAAACGTTTAGTTGAACAATATTGGGTGGACGCATGTCACTCGTGTTGGTCAGCAGAGGGCATGTGACTGGTCCGAATCAATCACATCAGACAAGAGGAAGAAAGGCAGTCTTTCACAGGTTGCGATAGGCTATCGTTATTGTCAAAACACAAGAATGAAGAGGAAAATAGGCAGATTAGCTTTCCTGGCGGTTGTTTGAAGTGTAGCCAAAGTGCATTAGAAGATATTATTCCTTCTGGAAAATAGAAAACTCGCGGCCGGAAAAAAATTGCTAATCAACTGATAATGAGCCGCGCTGCCCGCCTGCGACAGCACATCCACACCCACACCCACCTTGCACACTCATGACACACTCCCTTCACACACTCAACAGCCTTTCTCACACAGAGGTGATTTTGTCAGAAAATGACCACAGCAAATGAAAAAAAAAACAATATATATATAATTTGTTTTATAGAGAAAAAAAACTCTCCGATTTTATTTAGGCTATTTTTTATTTAGGCTTAATTCGTTTTAGTGCACTCCAACAACTTCGACAATGACTTTTATTTCTTTAAAATTAAAATATATTAAAGATTTGGTTGCAGAACCACAGCTGTAAAGGGACAGAGCATATGCTATGAAAGAAGTTAATAAAGAAGCTTTAATAATACCACAGGACATCTTTATTTGACATATATATATTTCTATTCTATATCCATTCTATATCAATTTCTAGCTCACACACAACAAGCCAAAACTCACCCTAAAGCCGGTGTGTCACACATAGGCCAGATCTGGCCCACACACAACAAGCCAGAACTCAACCTAAAACTGGTTTGTGACACACGGGCCAGATCTGGCCCACACACAACAAGCCAGAACTGACACTAAAACCGGCTTGATGTGTGTTGGCCAGATCTGGCCCATATGACCTCTGCCATTGCCAGAACTGAGCCATATGTGCCATAGTTGGCCCATGATGAGGCCCGGAAGTGTATGCTATCTGGGATGTTTGGTGGGTGCCCTTCATATTGTTGACCACTATGTTAACCATGTCAACAAGCTTCGAGTAATTAACCTTTTTTACGATACAGTTGTGAGAAAGCTTCGTTTAGACGTCACTATTCACTAATATTGAATAATCTACATTTTAACACTTTGGACAGTCACTTTGTCTATTTTGCTTGCCACAACACATTGAAGCGCATATCCAAACAATACGCAGACACTAAAGGTGTTTTGTTCTGGGGCGTCGCTAGTGGGGGGAAAAGGGTGACAGAGTGCATAGGGCCCAGAGGATTCCCCCCACTGAAGGTGATTTTGAGGGGGCCCCATAGCAAATTCAGTGCACAGGGCCCAGGAGCTCATTCCTGGCGACAGTGTTTTGAATGAATCATTTAAGTGAATGATTCAATGAATCATTGAAAGACATTTTCTAAATTCAGAAGTGCTACTACTAGCATATTATTTATGGCATATAACGATATGTTAAAATAGTATGCTAGTATGGTTCCAAGTCACTTCAATACTCCTTGAATGCATCAGTGTTTTGAACGAATCATTTGAGTGAACAAACTTGTAAAAACAGTCACTTGTCACTTGCTCCTACTGTTATATTTCTAGACAAAGTGAAAGTGACTTTCGCATTTTTTCGAATAAATGCTTTAAAAGGCTGAATGAATTGTTCTCTGAGTGTTTTGTATAATATATAAATTAGTCATAAAAGCTAGACATGATGTTGTCCTGTGTTATCTTTTGTTTTCCTGGTCAAGTTAGTTATTCACTGCTGTAAAAACATGTTTCTAAATCTGGTCAGCATGATAGCAGGTACAGTACATTATCTGCAATATATTCTCTTCTCTTGACCTTTAACCTGTTTGTTTTGGGTCAGGAAGTTCCACCCTGATCTTCTATTGTTCTGTCACGGTTGTTGTATTACGCCAATTATTATATAGGCAAATTTCAATCTCTTATAAAAGCACAGAGCATGCATATATAGACGGCGCATGACGTGACGACTAAACCAGGCCATAATGCGGCACGGAGTATCTATGTACACTTGTGACAGATCATCCTGTTTATCCATGATCCCCTGTCACATTGCTCTGGACTGTGATAAGCAAGTTATTTAAGGTAAGGGGCAGCCTATGAAGCCGTATGTTGGCGCTGAAGCCAGAAATCATGTGCTTTTAGCATAGCACAGTTCGACACGCCGCCCTGCCTCTTCCTGCACTGATAACAGGGTGAGGGACGATAGAATTGACCGATGGTGGTGGGTCACAATGGGTGTAAGCTCCTTGACTCTTCTCGGCAACCCCAACAGCTTTTGTCTCAGGAAATGTATGCAGAATAGTGTCTAGTCAGCATTTTCCTACTAAATCTAAGTGGCTCTGCCTTATTTAAAGGCCCGTGTTACATAAACATGCTCTGTAACATCTGACATGATTGATTGAACACCATCACCCCCCAAGATCAGCTGACTATTCGAGGCAATTTTGGAATCGAGGGCTTTGCGAATGACGCAGCATCTAATTTTGCTGATGCCAAGTAAAGTACCATGAGCTCAATGGCACTTTACTATTATAAGGCCAGGTGTAGTCACGATTCGTCTGTAACGGGAAAATGAGGGCCAGGGTAACTCTGGCAGGAAAGATCTTATTTTATGTGCTGTGGCTGCTCAGGAAACTCAGCCATTCACTGTTCTATATACTCCCATCCTGAAGTGGGGGAGTGAGGTCGCTTAAGAGACTAGGAGGTGGGGGAATGCAGAAATACTAATAACAATTACACAGTTTCCATTTTGAAAGTTGTGTTTATTTTTATTGTCATCTCCTCCCTTTAATGTTTAATGGCAGCTAATTTCTCTATTTCCCCTTGGCGAAATGTCAGTATCGCTGATTGTGCTCTTGAAAGCATTTGTACTTGTGATTAAGCTTTTCCCCACATTTGCTGTTATTTGTGGTGTCTGGGACGTGTGATTGAACCACAGATCCGTCCATCGGTTTAAGAAGTGCATAAAATATGACCTACTGTATGATTGGGATGGATCTCTGATTTATTCTAACATGCTACATAAATAAACTATATTGAACACAAAATAATATCTTAGTTTATAGCTGTTTCTGTCTATTAGTGTGAGACTGCAAAGTAAAATTGTAATTTAAAAATGTAATTTAAACCTGAAAAAATTGAAACAAAGATATATTATGAAGGAAAATTACTTAAAATAAAGTATTGTTTAATAGGTTGATAGATTTCCTAAGAGCCTTAACCTTTTCATGCTTTATCTGTGTGTGTGAATTAATTGTCTGAGATGCCAAAGGTCTGGATGCATAACGTCGGTCAGCGGAAATCATTCTGATATTTTGCTGCTCTTTATTTTTCTTCCTCTTGCTCGCAATTCCATATTGACTTGAGATATTTGTATTGTCTTCTAATTTTGAGCCATTGTTCTGAGGTGGTTTATTATTACGAAGCTGATAAAACATGGGTGTTAACAGCTCAGAGGTCTTCTCGACACATGTGTCAGCCAGTGTCTTCTCCTTCAGGAGAAAAACAAAGAGAGAAATTAATGAGTCACAGAAATGACGCCGTTATCTCTCACAGGAAGCTGTCATGAAGCTTAGATTCATGTCAATGACCCTCACCTGCATCTATGTCAATGACCCTCCTGCATTCATGTCAATGACCCTCACCTGTAGAGGAGACCGGGGCTAGTTGTCACACATTCTTTGTGTTTCAAGGGACAAACTTTTGTTTCAATATATTTTCCCCCCTATAGCATTGGTGTTGAAAACTCACTTAGTATAATTAGAATATTTTAAATTCGTTTAAATAATTAGAACAATTTATGCAAGGGTCATCAATATAATGGAGGTTGATTTTAACAAAACACTTAAACTGTGTCCTCACAACAACAGTATTTTTCATAAATCTGAGGTCCAGGTAATTTGTCACATTTTTTTTTTCTGTAAAAAAAATATTTTTTGAAAATAATTGGAGTAAGTTTTACAAGATATACTATTTCAGTCTTTCAACTTCAGTGTTACTTTCCATTTCTTTGTAATTACTTGTGAAATTCACTAGCAATTTCTGAGTGAAAATTGTTTCCAAACCAAATTTGTTTGATTGCAAACACCACTGGGGCATGTTGTCACAAAAGGGCAACGTACATTCAATAAACAGTATCTTTTTTAAGTTATTAACGGTGGAAATGCCCAATAGAGCTTTTGCAGCCAAGAGAGTAAACTGTACAGAAATTTATTTTTAATAATAAACCGACCCTGAGAAATACTGATTTATAGGCCTATAGCTTTAGTCTCTCCTACTTTCTCACTTTAAAAGAAGGGACAAATATGCTGTTAAATACACAGCACAGGAAAGTACAACTTTTTGAAAGTATCCCCCACTCGTTGCAATAGCCTGTAATGACTTCACAACTGCATGACTGGAAACGCGCGCGGGGAGGCGTGTGCGCTACTGTCCCGGCGCGCGCGCAGGAAGGGAGGGCGATCTTTGTCCGGTCACAAACACTCAATGGTCCGAGCGCAACGGTTAAAAGCGGGAGCAAACACATGTCGAAGCAGAGTCAGAGCACTCAGACAGTAAAGGAATGAAATTATGTTTGAGCGCGACTTTCAGGCAGGAGGACAAACAGAGACGCGCGCTGTGAACCTTACCGCAGAAAACGCTGTTTCGCGCGGAGCTGTCCAAGGTGGAGTAGGATGATGGGATGAAGCACCTGTTGCTATGCCAATATCTACAAACGAGAACGATGATGCAATCAATCCATCTCTGCTTGGAATGCTGAAATTTGGTTATATTAATGGATTGACCCGCATAAGCCATTTAAGCGCTAGATATTAAATGCAAAACTTTTCAGGTTTAAACCCTCACCATGGCTGGATGTCGGATGCGCTGATGTTAAACTCTAAATAATCAGTTTCATCTGGAAACCATTAGGCTACACTTTGGTCAATGATTCACGAGGCTAATCCCCACGAGTGCCCATTTTAATTCAACACCGTGATATGGACGTGGAAAAAGTCAGTTGTGTTAACGAAATGCCGCGAGGTGCTGGGAGAGACGCTCGCGCTGCAGGGTTCGCGGCTCGCTGATCCCCTCACACACTTCACGCGCGTCAATGACGCTGGCTCCTTGGTTAAAGCTGGCGAGGCTCGGCCTGCTGACTGCCTGGCTTTACTCATGGCTGCTGGTGGAGGGATGCGGACCAGGTCCAGGTTACGGCACTCGCCATAGGCAACGCAAGTTGACTCCAATGTCGTACAAGCAGTACGTGCCCGGTGTCTCTGAGAACAACCTGGGAGCGAGCGGAAGAGCGGAGGGCAGGATAACGCGCAGTTCGGAACGCTTCAATGAGCTCGTGTGTAACTATAACACTGACATTGACTTCAAAGACGAGGAACACACCAAAGCTGACCGGTTCATGACCAAGGTAAAGGAAACCAATGTCTAACAGAGTCAGCTGCGTCCCATTTTGCAGATGGGTCACTCCATATAGCTTTTAAATTTATTATTCTAATTTATTAGAATACATATTCGAATAATTTTTCAAAGATATGTGTAAACTCATATATGCATATATGTCATTAGGACATTATAATTTTTCCAAATGTGAACTTTTCATGGACAATTAGGCCTAAGTGCCTGTCTTTTTGTTTTGTTTATTTCATTAACTTTGTCAGCAGAGATTTGACTATGGTTATGTACAGTATACAGTTTTTATTGAAAACTAGATATTTGTACATCTGTCAGCTTTAAATAATCTTTCTCATAAACAAATTTAGTAGTGTCATAATCTTGAGCACAAGGCTAGCAATGGCTAAATGAATGGTAAAACGGTCCACATTGTTACTGTCAACCCTGTTACTTTTTAAAGGCTTATTTACTGTATATCTACCGGTATATAGCAATTTTAGAACGTATACAATTAGCAAAAAGCAATTTCTTGTCACCTAATGACATTATTTGTCTCATGTAATATTTAAAATCGAATTTAAAATCAAAATGGAAAAGGCACAGATTTCATGGAATGACCCAGATGCATCAGGTGGCCCTTTCAACTCTCTCAGTCAACCATGACATACTTCATGCACAGTTAAACAGTACTTGAAAATAAAAGGGTTTTGTTATTCCTGTAATTCAGGGGTTTCATTGTCTTTTTTTTTTTTTTTTTTGAAAATTGATGCAAACAGCTATACAGCAGTTATAAAAGGCAATTTTTTCTGGACAGGCCCTGCAAAATTTTAACTTGTCCAAGAGGAGAGATGTTTACTGTCACGATCTCATAATGTTGATAGATTGTTTACCCATGTTACCATGTTCCCTAGGCAATGTAAAAAACGTGACAATAAGACTGTCTGGACAGCCACAGCACCATTTAATCTTTAACCAAGTTCTTCGTTAGTGAGCTATAAAATGATCACTACACCTCTACTTCCTTAGCCTGGGAGTGTGTACATGTTCCCTTGTATAAACATGTAGGTAGGTAAGGCAGACAACATTGTGAAGAACACAGAGTACACTAAATTTTTTTTTAATTTTTTTTTTTAACCTTAAATACATAGAAGCCAAAATATGAGACATTCAAAACTAATTTCTTAGCGGCAATATTAACATTTTCAGCTGAATAAGTTAATATAAATAGACATTGTATTCTTTGGCATGGCCTAATCCGTTATGGTATCAAAGGTTGTTTTGAGATTTTACTGATAAGTTTGATATCACTTATAATAAGTTTGAAAAGATTGACATCTAGTTAACTGTGAGGACACTTATGAAAGTGCTTCAAGTGGGTTTATGTGTACGTATGCATGTGCCCTCTCATTGCCCAACTCTGAAAGCTATCCTTTGTGCATCTTTTCAAGCTGCGGGGTCGCCTGTGCAGAATTCTCGCCTGTTGAAGTAATGGCACCATTGGAAAAGCCTCTATTGTAGTTTTCACAATGAATCTCCTCTGTTCAACAGCATTGCGAGAAAAATCTCCCTGGTTTGTTTTCTTCCCCTCTTGATTTCTCACTCTTGCTGTCACATTCCCAAGTAGACGTCTAAACATTCCATCCATCTGCCTGCTCGCTCAGACTTTGCTTTCTTCTTGCTCTAATTGGCTTTTCGACCCTGTCTTGCTCTCTCGCCTTTTCCCATACCCTCTCAATCACGACCCTAGGTCACATAATATTATTTTCCCTGAAAAATAATACAAAATGTTCACAGATTCCCCATTACGTATAGTGTAGAGAGACACAAAATGTTGAAAATGCTTGGAGGAAGTCTAAATTCTGTATTACAAAGTCTCAAGTTTGATACTGGGTTCATTCAAAAGACTGTGTGAAAATGTTCCAATCGTGTGAAGAAAAAAAAAGGAATTGACCTTGACTTTACTCTGTGACCATGCTGAAGTGTCCAAAGAATGCTGGAAATGAGTTAAAGTAGCTTTGTTCTTATTGTTAGATGTTGGGGGTGGAAATGGCCTTTTGCAGAGCTGAATATGCTGGAGAAAAATTGCTGATGTCTACCCGCGCCAAATTCTGACAAAGAATTCTGAAATGTCATGGTATTTGCTGTGCTTTCAGCATTAGCACACCTCTGGTTTAAATCATTGGTAAAAAAGGAGGAGCTTTGGCAATCTGGGACAGTTGAAGTGAAAATTCACCCAAAACTAAATATTCTTCCTTAAGAAGTTCTAAACCTGCAGTACCTTTTTTATTTTGTGGAACACAGAAGAAGATATTTTGAAAAATGTCAAAGTATTTTAGTAATTTCAATGAAAGTCAGTGGGTTCCAAAGTTGTTAATGGTATAGTCCTTCCCTTTGTATCACCTGTTTAATGCTTTCATTTGTTCTTTCCGCTTCACAGCGCTGTAAGGACTGCCTCAATAAACTGGCAATAGCAGTAATGAACCAGTGGCCTGGGGTCCGACTGCGAGTGACGGAAGCCTGGGATGAGGATGGCCATCACCCTCCTGGTTCTTTGCATTATGAGGGCCGTGCGGTTGACATCACCACCTCAGACAGGGACACAAAAAAATATGGACTACTTGCACAGTTGGCAGTTGAGGCTGGATTTGACTGGGTGTACTATGAATCCAAGTACCATGTGCACTGCTCTGTCAAAGCTGGTAAGCTTGTAAATCTTTGCTTTTCATTTGTTACTCCTCATTCAGATCTTTTAATGTAGCTCTTAAAGTGATAGTTCTCCCTAAAATAAAACTTTTGTCATCATTTACTCACCATCATGTAGTTCCAAAACTGTATGAGAGACAACAAACAAGATATTTTGTAAAATTACCATACAATGAAAGTCAGTGGTGTCCAATGCATGGACAAAAATTCTGTCATGAAACTCTGGATGGCGCAGTCCGATAGGTCTAACTCGATCTGATATAATGACACCATTATTCACATGGCGCAGCGGAGCTTGCTGCTCAACGTTTAAATACTCGGCTAGTGCTTGCTATATCAGTTGCAGTGCTTCAGAACCCTCCACCTTCCCCAGCTCCACCTGTATAGATCTGCTATGGGGTGATTTCATGTAGGGTTATTTCATATATGTTATATATGTGCAATATTTCTTACATGCTCACAGCAGCATTTCTGTGGATGTAATGGCAGTAGCAAATCTCTGTACTTGTTGTGCTGCAGCAGCAGCAGCAGCAGCAGCAGCAACATAGCATATCTATTCTGCAAAGACCAAACACATTAACATTGCCATGTATATTGCCATGCTAACCTCTCCGAGAGTTGTCATGACAGAAGCTGATTTCAAGTTGAAGTTCTTAACACGTTCCACCTCTAAATTTTTCCAGATCACTCAGTTGCTGTAGAAAAAGGTGGCTGCTTTTCAGGATCGGGGCTTGTGACAATGGCTGATGGCGTGCAAAAACCTTTGTCGTGTTTGCGGCCTGGCGAGAAGGTGCTTTCCTTGTCTGAGTCAGGTGAAGTTGTTCTCAGTCGGGTACTTCTCTTTTTACATCTGGATAGAGAGAGCAGAACCATGTTCTTTATTTTTACCACTGAAAATGGAAAACGAATGGCGCTTACTCCCAATCACCTCATTTTTGCGACTCCCAATCTCAAACTGCACCACCATGAGTATGAAGCTATGTTTGCCAAAAACGTTAGGACTGGGGACTATATACTTACTACTGGGGACAACAGAAGACTTCAGCCATCTAAAGTGGTCTCAATTTCACTGGAGGAGATGATGGGGGTTTATGCTCCTTTGACAGAACATGGGAACTTATTTGTGGATGGTGTGTTGGTATCCAACTACGCTTCTGTTGAGGATCACAGACTCGCACACTGGGCATTTTGGCCTTTCCGTGTTCTTTTTCGCTTTTTCCAGACAGTAATGGAAGAGAACTCACAAAGAGTGGTGGTTAACAGTAGTGCCATGGTCCCTAATATCTGTTCCACAGATCAGACCTTCCTCACAAATGTGATGCACAATAGTTCTTCCAACATATGCAAGAAATTCCCAGAAGTCACAGTGGAAACGGAAAATGAACACAGTTTTTTGCAACAAAAGGAAGTTTACTGGTATGCAAGGCTTTTGCACACATTAGGACAGATATTTCTTGACCCTCAGAAGTTTTACTGATGGTCAAGACAGGGAATATGCAAACATAATGTCAACTGCAAAATAAATTATAGCTTTTTTAAAAACTACTGACCAAAAAGGAAATGAAATAGGCACTATAACTGGTATAATTACTCACCACATATAATGTCCAGTTACAGTTACTTCTTACATTTAGAATTTGTAAATGTGTTGCAGTCATGCATATACTATGTGAAATATTCAGTTTAATTAAAAAAAAAAAAAAATCATATTTTTTTAAATATGACTTGTCATATTGAATAATCACCATATGGACAATTATGGGATTCAAAATGTAAACGTACTTTTATGTTTGTTTTACAAGAAAATATTTCAAAGAGTAATAAATATTTATTTTTATACTTTTGGATTCATAATATATATTTCATGTTAAACTGTTCATGTAGTTCTGATTATTTGTTATACCAAGCAGACACTGATACAGTAGTTGTGATCATATTTTTACTTAAAGTTATTGTAGTTTATTGTGTTGCAAAATAAACCTGATCTGCTTAGATTTTATTCACAACAAACACAAGTTTTATTCTGACTAGACTTGTACTGAGTACAAAATATCATGTCAATTCCCAATTTAAAAAACACATTTTTATTTTGACAAATCAGCATATTACATCATGTCCTGTAGATGGTAATTTAGACGTTTTAAACAGAAATGAGTTGTAAACAAAATATTGTGTTAACACAGTTTAACTATGGCTAATGACTAATTGTGGTTCATTTCCAATGTCCAAAATCAACAGCCATGTGCTAAACAAGGAATAACAGTCTGGCTTTTACTAAGTGCATCACACCCCCTTGTGGACACCAAAGAATACACCACTGTCTATTCTGATGTGCTTAGTATGATTTACAATCTTTCTGTTCTGAAAAACAGCTTCCTGGAATTAATAATAAATTAAAAAGTTAATACATTATTATTTGTAATATTTTTAATTTGTTCTCTATTACTTTTTCCTGTTTAAAATATATATCAGCATTAATGCAATACAAACTAAATTTTGAATTAAATTTAAGTGCAGACTGACAATGTAAAGGATTTAGCATTGTAAAACTAAAATAATGCTTTTGAGACTGTGTTGCATTTTTGGAATTGGTATTTTGGTATTTTTTCACAGCTGTGAAGGTATAGAAGAGGATTACCTTGGTCATGGAGGGGGCAGATGGACACAACACCCCCACTGGAGAGGAGATGTTCTAAACTCTATCTGGATCAGGCCAATGGCAAAGACTGTAATGTAGGCCGACCCAACAATTACCTTTGGTGAACCAATCAGATTTTAAAGATAAGCTTAGTCAGGCTCCCTCAAAACCTTTCACGTTCAAACTAATCCCGGTGAAAGCTGGGAAGAAGTTATTAATCTTGTCAATGGGGTATGATCAGAAAGTACAGAGAAAAAAACGATATGCCATCAAGTTATATTCTATAGAGATCAATATATCAATGCTCTAACAGAACAATATGAGACAGATAAGGCCTATACTGTGCAGACGAATTTTGCGATATCAGAATTTCAGTTTCTGACTGTAAAATAAACATGACCTGCAGCATGCTTGAGTAATAATTGAAGAGAACATGACTTCATTGTGGTAGATGTTGGTAGTGCTCCAGCATGTCCATAAATGGCCATTCTTCCATCATATTTATCTCTGGTATATGAATTAAACAGTCTGTTTGAATATGTTGAGAACTGTATTTACTGCACGTGACTCAAACTATGTGACTCTGATGGCTTGTCAGCTTAAAGGACAACAAATCTACTCCTGCTTGGTTTCTTCCACTAAACAAAGAACAGTTTAGTTGATTCAACAATGCATATCTTTTATAGGCACAGAGATTGAAACAAGATGATAACATTGAATAAAAATAGCCATGTCATATGCAGGTATACATAATACAGACAACTTTACAATGCATTTTATTTCAAAACTGGCAGCTCTTGCATTTGCACTCTGGGATCAATAAAGTCTGTCTCTTTTTAAATCTATACTTATCTAGTCTAAGAATAGACTAATAGTAGCCTTTGATCAGGCAATATTTTGTGGTCTCATTTACTCATTTTTAATGTTTTGTTTAGAATCGATTTTCACTGAGCTAATAGTGTGCTAATTTTGAAAGCAAGGATGAACTGACATCTATTATGACGAAATGTCTCTGTACTGAGAGGTCTGCTGTTAGCATTGTGGCCAGATAATAAACTGGCTACTTTAAATGGCTACCATTTAAGGCAGTAAATAAACAGGATATATAAATAGATTATGTAATTGTTTAATTGTATAGATAGATAGATAGATAAGATAGTTTAGTACTTAATAGATTATTGACAGACTCACTGACACAGAATAATAGACAGACAGACAGACAGATAGATCAAAAGCAACAGCTAGTTATAGTTCATTACAGCTTCGCATCTATGCAGCACTGTGAAGGACAGGTGGTTCAACGGTAAATCGGGAGAAACTAACAGAATTAACACTTGTCTAACTAACTTGGCCATGACCCAGAGTTTGTAGTGCACCCCAATTTGTTTGTCTTCTCATAAGTAGGGGTCGCAGTTGGACTCAGCATCGGTGTTAAAAGCATGTTTTAATCTGCAGCCTGCACTCACACAGACAGAAAGCTGGTGCAGTATCCTTCGAACTGTTACGTGAAGCAAGTTTATCAAACAAGCTTGCAACATTTCTCCAGATTGGAGATCTGGGTGTGGGTTAGCCAAAGCTACTCAGTCTGGATGAAAGCAGCAAACATGAGAGTCCAGCATGAACTCATTTGATTCATTGGTCTCGGTCAGCCAAAATCTTAATATCAGGTAGTTTTGCAAACGTTTGCTCGTCCGACAGCACTTCCCCCATCAACAACAAACTAGTAAACCCTGCCTAGCCAAAGCTAGCTTAATGAAATGAAACGGACCCCAGCGATTATTATCCGGAGGATTGTTCCGATCATGTACGAGGACGTTAGCGGCGCATTGTAGGTGAGTGTTAAAAGTAGTATTTAATATTTTTAAAAATATATATACTTGCTGATAAATCACCCTAGCGATACTTGGGCCCCCCTTCTACGTCCATTTGGCGAAGTGAGTGCGAATCTGTCGGCCAACATGAATAGCTGCTAGCTTCATACGTAACGTTACCATTGCGTTTCCTAAACTCAAGGTTACAAACACCAATGTTAGGATTGAGCTGTTTTTGTGTTGGCCGTTTAGTTTCTTTTCCTATAGCTCGTTGTGTTTTTAGTTTAGCCTGATGCATTAGTGTTTATGTCCTTGCAAATGGGTAAGCCATATTTTTAGCCAGCACCAGTTCATGAACCATCCGTCAATAAGAGCGAAACCACGAAAGCTTAGGACTTAATGTGTTGCTTTACTGTCGAATATGTTGTTGTGATATTCCGAGCGTTTTATTTGCTATAATTAAAACTGCCGTATTTGTTGTTGTTGGAAAGAGCAACAGCATTTTGGAGTATGAAAGTATCTGGCTAGCAAGCTGAGTTAGCAGATGTGAAACTGGGTGATTTGTTTAATTAATTTATTTTAATTTATTTATTTTTGCAAAAGTGAGGCTGGTAATAAACATGGAATAAAATTCGTGATTAATCTAATACATGTCGTTTTTTTAGCAGTGGTTGCAGTTTTGTGTACCACACAGGGACGCTACTTCTTGCAGCCTGTTAGCATGCACTGCTTTACATGCAGTGCGTTTGGTTACTTTTTAATATTTGCCTCGGTATAAAACATTTGAAAAACCTAAGAGAGACGATTTTATATATGGATTTCGTTCAGTGAATGTGGTTGTCAGTTAGCGTGTTGGGACTTAAACCGCTTGGGAAACATGTCAACAAATTAGTGTGAAAGGATTTAGCTTCAGCTTGACAGTTTATTCCAAGTTAAAAGGTCAGGGATTTTCAAGGTGGTGTGGTAAATATTTTAGCATCGGATAGTTTAAATTCATTTTGTTCAGTCAAACAAACATAAAAACACACTAGGGCAAATGTCAGCAATATGTCCCATATTTTGTAATTAGCTAACGTTACGCAGTTGAAATGGGGAAGCATTGCGTAAGTTACAGGATTTGTTATCGGTACACAGTTCCTTATGCGAACACCTTAACTTAACAATTTGATCAAATTGACTAACGAAATAAGGGTAGAAACGTTTAAGATTTTACCTTCATAGAGAAACATGGTCACATTAATAGCAAGTTTTGATTGAGTTTCCTGAATAACCCGCTAGCATATCAGGATAAACCAGAACAACAAACACAACGCGAATTTTATGCTTTCGCTCCATAACCATCACAATACCTCTCTATAATAAGTTATTTCAAGGATTAATATGCTGATTGCTTGATTTTATATACATGTAAACATTCACATTAATAATTAAAGTCATAGTGTCCTGTCTAAAGTATTTTGGGTTAGTAGTTTAGGCTTTGAATGAGGATGGCCAGTCATAACCTGACTTCAAACAAATGTTGTGTTCAGTTTCATCTGTATACAACAATGCAGTCTGTTACCCCACAGTGAAATCCCTTTAAATATTCATGAAAGGCCACTAAACATGTAAACGGTAATGTACACCGTTTAATTATTTTTATATGTATAAAAATGTACAATCTGCCGATCATATCTTGCAACACTGTTTTCACATCTTTTTTTTTTTTTTACACGGGCGGAAACCGGCATACAAATCAGGAAATGTGTGTGCCAGGGGTCTTGACAAGGACAGGACATTGTATTTCAGTCGGTTTCATTTTTTTTTTTCTTTTATGCATGAAATCTTGAGCACATTATGCAACATTGTAACTGAATTGCATTTCCTGGTGAACTAGCAACATGAGGTGACATTTACATCATAGATAGATAGATAGATAGATAGATGGACACATATACAGTGCAAAAAAAGAAGGCAGAGCAACAGGGGTGTAGGAAGAGAAAGTTAGCGTTATTCCGTAATTGAATAAGTCAGTTTAAATATACTGTAATTTAAGTTACACTGAGCTTATCACATACTCTATGGTGTCATTTTGTCAGTATGACCATATTTGAGAGTTTTTTAAACGTGCACCCGTGCACTCTATTACAGGCGGAACAAAATAACGATACCCGTGTTGTAGCCCGACATCGTTGTGTGTGTCACAGGAAGCGCGCTACACGGAAGTTGTATTTTCTTTGTGTTTCTCCCTTTAGCGTCGTTTAACATAAAGAAAGTAACACGTTATCTTTGTTATGCACGAAGTTATAGAGTTTTATTGACCGCGGTGTATCACTAAGCAACGGAGCTGTGTATACGTGTCAGTATTTGCCTGGTTTGATGATGGGCGAGCGGATTATTTTGCAGAGAGTTTGTTAACCCCGGTCAGAAAGCTAGCGTGTTAGCCGTGTCTATGCACTACTGTAAACTGAGCAGAACGACGCAGCTGCAGGATCAGACCAATTAAAAAAAATCTATAAGCTGTTGTTTATCTACTAGCGTTAACCAAAACGGAGAAAATGCATCGAACACGCGAATCCACCTCATGGTTTGTATTTAATCAGCTGCTTTGTGTTATGTTTTTCTTTATACAGTAATGTTTGCGTAGTTAGGTGTGGAGTAATTTCAATTTTGCTGGATTATGCACATTAATTACGCAGTTGCGGTATGACTAGACATTCCCAAACGCAGCTGATCGGATAAGTGTGCATTATCCAGAGAGAGGCCACCTGCAGTTAACCAGCCTAACTTTTTCATTACCGCATTTGAGAGGCTTAATTAAAATGACAGTGGTTTTGTGGCTGTAGATTATTGCAATACTTGGATTTGTACGTTACATGCTTGCTGCTCTTTTGACCTTAAACTATGTAACTGTTCTCACTGTTTCAGATCTCTGCAATAGAGATCTTCTTCAGGAGTAGGAATGGACGAGCAGAAATCAAACTGCGAAGAAAATGATTCAGAAACTGCAGGTTAGTAAACATCAGAAAAAGGCGATTTCTTTAGCCATAAGTGTGTTATAAATTCATAAGTGTGTCGCTTTTGTTTATAAAGGGGCATGTAAACACTTTTATAACTTTTTATTATAGTAACTACACTCTTCTTATTCATGCACATTTTCGTGGACATACTATAGTTTAAATGCATGTTGAGAGATTTCAAAGTAAGTGTATAAAAACGCGATCTTATATCTTGCACAGCAGTGATATCTTTAAATGGGAGCTTGTGACCTTTGCTTGAAATCACTGTGAGGGAACAGTGCTACCTATCTGGGATTTTTAAAGGGCACATTTATATTTGCTCCATCTTAACTTACGGCTACCATGTTTCTCTTAGCTGATGATGGGACCCCTGCAAAGGAGAGCGTCCAAGTTGAGGGGGAACTGAGTGGCCCTGTAGCTGCAGAGGACATCTCAGGCACTACTGTGGACACTTCCAGCTCATCATTGTAAGGCCTTCTATAAATATTGCGGTTTGAGCTGCTTTGCATAAAATGTAGGTCATGCTTGAAAAGCTCGGTTTATAGGAAAAGGCTATCCTTAAGGTTTTAGGTAGGCGTGGTTGACTCTTAACTTTTATAAAGAATATCTCTTTGGATTTGAGACTTTAGTCTTTGCAACTTTACAGATCTTCTTTATGCACCAAGAGCTTGTAACACTCCAAAGAGAGGAAAAATTGAAATCGCATCATATGACCCCTTTAAATAGAACATGACGTTAAATAGACAAACTAGTCACTTGTTTAGAGGCATCTATCTATCAGCCAAGGTCAAATACAACACAAAATTTGAATCGGGGTTCCTACTCAGTTTGGAAAAGTATGGAATTTGATTTGAGTAATTTCCAGGTCGGAAAAGTATGGAAAAAAGAAAGCAGAGTATGGAAAAATATTTGCATTTCCAGACTTTTGTCCCTATTTAGTTTTCTATAATAGAAAATTAAGAATTTGATTAAAATAAATTTATCATACAGGAAGTATGTTTTCATGGCAGCTGTTTAATGATTCTTGATGATTGTCAAACACGACTGAATGAATTAAAAAATGCAGGTTTTGGGTGTCTTCTCACAATATTCTTAGGACTGTACAAAGCCTCTAAAAGGATCTTTGCAAAAATACAAAATATACGTGATGTATATTCATGTTCGTGTGCGCATGAGAAACTAAGCTTAATTGCGCCATCAGTCCCTTTCGTGGTGTGGTTTTTGGCCTCCATAGAGGCGTTAAAGCAGACTTATAGCCTTGAAGTATGACGTACTGCCCTAAATAAAGGCACATTTTTTACACTACCAGTCTTTTTTTATAGACCCTTGAACTTGACAAATAGGACAGTGCACCCAGCCATATTGTGCCATCGGCTCATTTCGTGGTTTCTCTGTTTCTCGCCCGCCACAGAGGATGTGTTGAATTTAGTGCTAGAAATTAATAATTAAGGGGCCTAATTAAAATTAAGTAATGCGTAAGCACGCAAACAAAATTCCCAATAGTTTCCGTGTGCATGCAAAAGTCTGTTTTTTTTTTTTTAGGGGCTCTGTATGTTGCCACTTCGACTACGTACCAAATATAAAGCTGAAAATAAAGCTTCTATGAACCATATATGTTAAATATGGTCTGAAAATCTACTCAATAGTTTGGAAATTGGAGTCTGGAAAAGTATGGAACTTTCAGATGGAAAATATGTAGGAACCCTGTTGAATATTAATGCATCCCATTTGATTAAACCAAGCTGTTTTGTTGAAGTAATGTGTACAGAGTTGCTGAACGCCTTTCCTGTTTGGTGTTTTTTTCAGGGAGACTGTCAGGGCCTGTGCTCTTTGTAACTGTGTGGAGCGTAGTCTGCATGGACAGCGGGAGCTCCGGTGTTTTGGACCCTCTTCCGATTGGCCCAGCTTGGAGCCCTCTGCCTCCTTTTTGCCAGCAGCTGGAAACGATGACCTGTCTTCCATTGGATTCTCTGAATCCACCTGTCTGGCATCTCTCTTTGATGACACAGGTATGATCATGAAAACAAACTGTTTGAATCGTAGTGGGGTGCTACCATCCGGTGCCGGGCCGAAGGCTGCTCACGGTTCTACCACTTCCCCTGTTCGGCTGCAAGTGGATCATTCCAGTCCATGAAGCAGCTGGCGCTCCTCTGTCCAGAGCACATAGACAAGGCCGAGGAGTTTGGTACGGAATTACAGCGGAACAGATGCGATATCATCAGTAAATAATGTTTACGTTTCAGCGGTTGCTGAGATGATGCTGTGTTTGTTTTGCAGCCGGAGAGGAAGCGCGGTGTGCAGTGTGCGACTCCATCGGGGAGCTGTCGGGTCTGCTATACTGTACGGGCTGTGGGCAGCACTATCATGATGCCTGTCTAGAGATCAGTGCCACACCACTTCAGCGGTCAGGTTGGCAGTGTCCTGAGTGCAAGGTGTGCCAGACCTGCAGGTATGTTTGAATGCTTCGTGCATCTTCACATCCAGTTTATATAACGAAACTTATCAGTGATGCGCTGAAATTTTGGCAAATTTTTGCCCGATACAGCAGTTTTTGATTTCATTTGTTAGAAACAGTGATGTTTAATTAGTGTTTCTCCAATGGTACGTTTTGACTCTGTTAGTGTCTATTTCATGTACACAACGTGGATAAACTACAACACTAGTGCTGGATTACCAAAACTGGTATCTGTTTTTAATCACTACTGATATGGATCGTTAATTATCACAAGATCATCTTTTAGTTTGTTTTCTGTTGATGCGTGAACTTCACTAATTGCAATAAGCTTTGTGCCGTTACTTTTAATATGAGACAAAGTCTCAGCTTTTGAATTCTGTCAGTTTTATAACAAAATACAGTAAATGTGGTTTTGATGCTCTTTATTGTGTTAAAAGAAACCGTACAACATACTGGAATGAATCATGTCTCATGTAATCGTTCAATCAGTTTGTAGATGTGTTACATTTACCATAGGAAAGACATTGAGTGTCTGTAATCTTGATAGTAAACTAGGCAAAATCACTCTAGATAGGTGCATTTTGATAAATGTGTGCTATATTACAAATGTATTATATTTTTGCTTTTAACCTGTTGTCTTCATTATTTAATGTATGTTTGAATAAATCTTTTATGAAAACAAGTTAATACAGCCACCATATTTTATTCATAGTTTATATTTTAGCAACAAATTGGAGTAGAAACAATTATGTTATTAAAATTGGATATAAAACCATATAAAGCCTTATTTGCTATTTAAATGTTTGAACAACTCAGTGTTTTATATGTTGATTATTACATTTGATTATTTTATTATTAAATAAAATGTATTTTCGTTTTTATTTTCGGCCAAGTGCATCCTGAATTTTGCAGATGCTTCACTGTATTTATATTGGTGTTCGCAAAGACTTTGTGGTATAATGTGTATTTTTTTTTAAATAACATCCAGGCAACCAGGGGAGGATTCAAAGATGCTGGTTTGCGATGCTTGTGACAAGGGCTACCACACCTTCTGTCTACTGCCGGCCATGGACTCTGTGCCCCCTGATTCATGGAAGTGCAAAGTAAGCTTAAACCCATGACTCATTTTTACATGCCCTTCTTCTGTGTAATATCACCATTTAAGGCAGAATTCAGACCTGTGCTGTTTATTTACATAGTTGCTCTGCTCTTTTCTCATGCCTAAAATTGCATAGAGAAACCACTTGAATTTTTCAACCAAGGTTCCCCTAAAAATGAAAATTGTTGTTGTTTAACTCACCGGCATGTCGTTGAAACACAAAGAAGTTTATCCAGTTCAAATAAAACGTCATCCAAGCACTTTCAAAATGTGTGGCGATCCTTTTATGGTAGCCCTTCGAGCGATTGTGGCATGTAATGGCGATATCAGTTTGTATAGATGTTTGGCGAGTAGGAAAATGTGATTTTTGTAAGGGAAATATCACTCTATTGTTTTGTCTAATCTGATTTGCATGTCTGTTTCAGCGGTGCCGTGTGTGTATTGACTGTGGCATGCGAGGGCTAAAGCTTCCTGGCTCTGAACAGTGGTTTGAGAGCTACACAGTATGCGAGGGCTGTCAGCGCAGGCGCACCTCTGTCTGCAGTGTGTGCAGTAAGGCCACGGAGCCCTCAGTCTCCCTGAAACATCGCTGTGCCATCTGCCACAGGTCAGTTTATGTACCTTCTGGCATTAAGAACAGGCAAGTGAGCTGCTTCATTGTCTAGAGCTGAGCATTTAGCGCTGTACAAAGAAGTGGGTTACTAAAATGGAGGTGACCTTTAAAGATTCTCCAATGTGAAGCAGTATTTGCCATGAAGTAACGAACAAACTGACTTTAATTTATCTCTTTGCATAAATTTAACTTGTGCTTGATGTCCTCTGCAGATGGGTACACAGTGATTGTGCCTCTCTGTCAGGGCCTCCTGAGGAGAAATGCATCTGTGTGCTCTGCAAAGCAATGCCAGATGAGGTTCCAATCGAGTCTGAAGTGTCATCCACGCAAGTAGATGAGAAAGCTGATTTGGAGGTGCCAATGGAATTGGGTATGATCTTTAGTATGCTGTTTTTTAAGAGCGTGCTCTGTTGGTTTCTCATAGGACTGTACAATCAGATATCTATTTTGCGAGTCTCATGTGATAAGGATTAAATACAGGTGTAAACAGGGTCCAAGATGTTCTTATGTTTTGTTTTCCTCAAACTACATTCAGGGGTTGTTAGAATTGCATGTGACATTTCGTTTGTAGTGTAAACACTTATGATTCCTTTTGGCTATGCACCTGTGAATTATCCATTGGGTTTTAAATTCTGATGGTCATGTGCAGCTATTAGGAAAGCCCATACATGCATAAAGCTTCTGGGAAGCTTGGTTTGACGTCAACATAGATCAGGTGACAAAAGTAGTGTTAGTATAGGAGCTCGATTAAATAATTCAGCTTGAAATGTCTGGTTTGCTGTGAGATTCTTATTTAAAAAAGCATCACTTACAACAGTTTTTATTTATTTTCATTTTCATTTCAATTTTTATGCTTAATTATTGTGTAATTATACACTGCAGTAATAATTTAAATTTTACATTGTAACACATTTTTAGATTATCTTCCTCTACTTATTATTATTATTATTATTATTAATCTTGAAAACAGTTGTGTTGCTTAATACTTTGTGAAAACAATATGTTTTTCAGGGTTTCAGGCTTTGATGAATACAATGTTCTAAAGAACAGAACTTATTTTAAATAGAAATATTTTGTAACAACATAAATGTCTTTAGAACAAAGCAAATTTGAATTACAATTCAGGAATTCAAATAATTCAGTTCTGAATGATGTATTGCAGTTGTTCTCTGTATAGTGTGTTGTATGGTTAGCTAGTTGGTGATACCCAGCCCTAGTTTCTTTTCTCTGTGGACAGAGTTTTATTGACTGATATTAGATGTGGATATTGAGCTGATGTGTGTAATTTTAGGGACAGAGCTTGAGGTGGTTGGAACAGCAGAAGTGAAAGAAAGCATTATGGAGGAGGAACTACAGCAAGAAGGTGCTGAGGGCTCCACAGAGACTAATGTGCACAGTGAGGTCTCTACAGAGCAGCAGGCCCCTTTAGCTACAGTTTCAGGTAAATTTCTGTTAAATTTCTTAAACACTGTTTACATTTTTTTTTGCAAACAAGCTATATATTTGCAATAATATTTTTAAATTGTATCTGCAGTGTAACACTGAAAACCTGCCTGTTGTCTTTTGTAGAAGCTGATGAAAAACAAAAAGAGGAGACGACTACCATTGAAACAGTGGCTACAGAGGCCATTGAGGAAAAATCAGTGGACACTCAGGACCCTCCTGTGAAGGATAGCCCAGACAGCCCTGTTCCGGACACTAGAGAGGAAGCCCAACTTGATGTAGCTGAAACTCACATAGAAAAGCAGGAGGAGTTGCAAGGGCAAGACAGTACTCCTCAGACAGAGACTGAGTTGGTCAGCACAGATGAGGCTACAGAAACGAACCCTCCAACAAGCCTATGTTCTCAGTCTTCTCAAATCACACTCCCTGTTTTGGAAGCAGCAGAGCCAGTTGTTATGGACTTGGAGGAGCCATGGCAAGAGGAGGCAATAGACCGGACTCTTACCCCTGCTCCTCAGACAGAAATGCTCCCTGCATCTGACACTGATGATAGAATGGGCCAGTCTGAGGATGAAGAAGAGGAGGATGAGCAGGGGGTGGAGGAATCCTTTGAGGAGTCGCTCCTCAAAGATGAGAGTCAGGGGGAAGATGACCAGTCCAGGAAAGAGCTGCAAGAGGCTATGAAGCCGGAGCTGGTCTTCGATGAGACATCAAACATTAGCCACGGTGATGAGAGCAGCAGCGGTTTCCTCGGCTCGCCTGCTGAGGCAGACTCTCAGATGCTGTCCATGGAGCTCAGCCTGGTGCCAGCCGGTAGGACCCGTTCTGATTCGCTGCTCACCGAAACGGAGGACTCATTGCCTTTTGATCCACTGAAGCCCGATGGAGATAAAGTGAAGCGCAGAGGTTCTCCAGGACGCTCACGGGTAAAACAGGTGGATGTCAGACACCAAACCTTTTCTCATTAACTTTGAATTCTGATGGGTTTAGGTATACCGCTAGTCCAAAAGTAGTCATTTTGATGCTGATACATTTGTTTTCTGACCTTTCAGGGCAGAGGCAGTGGTTTTCCAGGGAAGCGGCGGCCACGTGGTGGTGGTGGTAGCGGCGGCGGCAGTAGTGGTGGAAGAGGGCGTGGACGGTCACGTCTCAAAGCAATGGCCTCTTGCATTGATGCCTTTCTAGTAAGTTTTTCACTTCATTTTGAAGCATATTTCTTTTCAGTGTAAACTATTGTTAACTATTGCTGTGAATTTAAATTGTATAACAATTTATTTCCCCATGAAAATTTAGTTTTTTTTGTTGTAGTGTTACTAATTATATGATGTGAATTATTCTAAAAACATTACCACCAGTCTTTTTTTTATAATTTTTAAAAAATTAGACATACAGGCATATATTTCGTCTTTACATTTTTTTTCTCGGTAGCGGGTTAATAGTGCGTTCCCATCATGTTGTAATCCTGTAATTACAAGATGCTGAATTAAGAAGTGTTCACATCCTTATAGAAAATATAAACTCCGACTGCGACATCTTGTAATCACAGTAATCCCAACATGGTTCACCATAAATCCTGGAAACAGCCTATACCTCTTGTGCTTAATGAAATAAACCAAGGTTTTGCAAGTTTAAATGAAATGCATATATTTTGTTTACAGCAAACCATGACTGCAGACACTGGACTTAGCAAAGAAGAAGATGAGGAGGAAGATGACACCATGCAAAATACAGTGGTACTTTTCTCCAACACTGATAAGTTTGTCCTGCAGCAGGTACGAATTTAACTTTCATTATTCCACTCTGACTTCCTATCAAATTCAGCATCATGAATGACAGTTACTTGATTTGACTTTTTTTACGTCTTTAACAGGACATGTGTGTAGTGTGTGGTAGTTTTGGACAGGGTGTGGAGGGCCAGCTTCTAGCTTGTGCTCAGTGTGCACAATGTTATCATCCATACTGTGTGAACAGCAAGGTAAGCTTTTAAACTCTATCCTGTATGATTACCGGCATTATGCACAGACACTCATTATTTCTTTATTTGGATATGTCTCTAGATCACTAAGATGATGTTGAGAAAAGGCTGGCGTTGTCTTGAGTGCATTGTGTGCGAGCTGTGTGGGAAGGCTTCAGATCCTGCCCGTTTGCTGCTTTGTGATGACTGTGATGTCAGCTATCACACTTATTGCTTGGACCCACCCTTACAGACTGTGCCCAAGGGAGGCTGGAAGTGCAAATGGTGTGTCATTGCCTTCATGCATTTATATGTGCCATGAGTCCAAAGAGAATGTTTTCTAACCAAAGCATTGTTTTACCCCCTTCAGGTGTGTGTGCTGTATGCAGTGTGGTGCTAGCTCCCCTGGGTTCCACTGTGAGTGGCAAAATAACTACAATCACTGCGGCCCTTGTGCCAGCCTGGTAACTTGTCCTGTGTGTCGTGAGAACTTCATGGAAGAGGAGCTGCTTCTGCAGTGCCAGCACTGTGACAGGTCAGTAATGCATTCTGTTAATAAAAGGATAATAGAAAATTTATATACATTCTTGTTAAAAAGTTTGGGTTCAGTAAGTATTTTTAAATGCTTTTATTCAGCAAAGATGCATTAAATTGATCAGACATGACAGTAAATCATGGTTTCCAAAAATATATATAAAGCAGTACAACTCTTTTTAACATTGATAATAAGTAATGTTTCATGAGCACCAAATCAGCATATTAGAATGATTTCTGAAGGATCATGTCATCACAGGAATACATTCTATTTTAAAATATTGAAACGGAACACGGTTGTTATAAATTGTAATAATACGTCACAGTATTAGTTGTAGTTTTAAATCAAATGCAGCCTTGGTGAGCGTAAGAGACTAATTGTTTTGTTTCTTTGCTTTATAGATGGGTTCATGCTGTATGTGAAAGTCTTTACACTGAGGATGAGGTTGAACAAGCATCTGATGAAGGCTTTGCCTGTACAGCCTGCACTCCATATGTTCCCAGGCCTGTTGGTGAGTTTCTTGATGCTTTCAATTGCCAGTACATTTGAAAATGCAAATTTTACATGCGTTTCCTATAATGATACTCTTTATCTATCTCTCTTAGTGGGGTCTACTATGATGTCAGCCTACAAAATGAAAGAACAGGGTATGTGTATATTTGATAATTAGTTGTCAGGCTTTCATCTATTAGCTATTTTTATTTGACTTAATCTCCGTTTCTCCATCCACTTGCTCAGAGCCACAATTTTATCGTCTGGAGGGAGTCTGGCTAACAGAGACTGGCATGTCTTTATTGCGAAGCATGTCCATGTCACCCCTGCACAAGCGCAGACAGCGCCGGTCTCGACTGGGCACCATGTGTATTGATGAGCTGAAAGAAGGCGATGCAGATGGTGACGAGGGGAAAGGTCAGATAATTACCAAGTTTAATTATTTTGTATACTTTATGATGACCAATTATTTATATCTTTGTGGTAAGTGAAGTGTGGTGCAATGTTTATAAATGTCTAAAGAACTTACTGGAACATTGTGTTAAATCAGTAAGGTGACTCACTGCCATTGATTGATTGTGAATGCAAATAATAAGAAACTGAAATTGTAATAGGAGGTGCAGAACCAATGGAATGTGAGCCCAAGCTGGAAGCCCCTGGGAGCCCAGATAGAGATGGAGGAGTGGACAGAGAAACTGGGGCAGATGGAGGTATAGAGGGCATGGCTGACTGTGAAACTCTCAAAGGAGGAGTTGAGGAGACTGAAGACGGGAAGAAGAGAAAGCGTAAACCATACAGACCAGGTTACTGAGCTTCTTCATTTCCTAATGGCTCTATCAGTGTTACGTGCTTTGAAAGAAATAGTTAATAAAGTGATTTTTCACTTGTAGGGATTGGAGGGTTCATGGTCCGGCAAAGAAAGTGTCACACACGAATGAGGAGAAGTCTGTCTGCTTCTGGTGATGGTGTTCCTGAAGGTCAAGCAGCTGAAATGAAACTTGAAGAAGGCAAGTGTGGCCAAATGGGAGTTCACACTGTCCCAGCAAACACCAGCAACCAGTGTTTGTTGGATTTTATTGTGTCAGTGTGTTAACCTTGTTAGCACAACCTGAATATGCTTTTGTTGGAATGTTTTGAGTTTGGTATATTTTTCCAACAAGCTGATGTGAACACGAAACCCTAATGCCTTTGCGAACTGCATTGAAATAAATGTTTGTGGGTGCAACTGCCTGGGGCTGTCAGTCTTGATTGACTGGAAAAATGTTTTTCAGTTTCTTTATGAAATAATTTTTCTATGTATTGCATCAAAACACTCAGGAAATGTGAACTGCATCTGCAAATATAGTTGTTTTTGTGCAGTATATATTTAGCTTTTTTCACCAACAACTTTAGCCCAGCATCCTCTAGAGATGTTTCTTAGCACAGTGTGATTTAACATGTTAGCCTCAATCTAAGCTTATCGAAGAGATTACCAAACCTTTGTAAAACATCTGTCATTTTCATGGTCAATTTTTTTTTCATTTAGGACCTCATCCTGACATACCTCTTGATGTTCCAGAGGCAAAAACAGCAGAGGGAGAGGGTGAGCAAGCAAAGAAGCGCAGGGGCAGAAAGAAGAGCAAGTTGGAGGACATGTTTCCTGCATACCTACAGGAGGCTTTCTTTGGCAAGACATTACTCGATCAGAGTAAGAGAGCTTTTCTTGCTCCTCAAACCCAAAGACATACGCAGGGCGTTCTGAGACCTCCACTCCCTGGGCAGGGGGCCAGAAATGCAGCCTCTGAACCTTGTAAGACACTACATAAATGCTTGTATTTGAGAATAATTAAGTTTGACCAGGTGAAGATTCTAAAATTTGATTCATTTTGTTCTTACAGTTGAGGCCGCAGCCAGGCCGACTGGTCTGCCCATAGAGCTAAAGCAAGAGGGTGAGGGATCCAAGCCTCCAGGAGATCGAGCAGGTGGGATTTTCAAGACTGAGGTACTTCGATATTTTGACAATGAATGTTAGCAGAACATAATATTTAACTTGCATAATATTTTGTAGCAGAAGAGCAAGGAGCAAGTGGGCAACTTTCCAACAAAAATCAGAGCTCAGGAGATACACAAGGGTCTGATGTACAGAAGAATGAAGGTAATTTCTTTTAACAAAACAAGTGAGGTAGCTGTCTTGAACAGTTGTATTACTCAAAAGATTGCCTTTTCACCCACCAGATCTCCCTCAGGGACTAGAAAGTCAGGACTCTCAGCAGTTTTTCCGGAAAGTACTTGGACCCACTGAGGGAATAACCGCAAGTGGGCCTCTGCAGCCTAGCATTAAGCCTGTTCGGGAGGGTGATTCAAATCAAAGTAGTTGCCCTCAAAGAAACCTTCTAGGTATGGGCAGAATTTCATATTATTACTTAGATGTGAGTGATATATAACTCAGATTTTTTTTTATACATGTCTACACTTACCATAAACAAATACCCTAATTTAACTACAGGTGCATCCTTATCTGGCGCACTCCCCACAACTAGTATGATGGACTCTTTTTCAGGTCTCTCCCAGTCCCCTTTTTTCGACATACGGTAAGCCATAGATTTGCTTTATCTTGACACTTTTGTCCCGTAATGAATTTCTCCTCCTTTATATGTATTTTTTTGTTTGTTTATTTGTATAATCTTCAGTGATCGAGGTGGTCTTTTCAGTCCAGACCAGGATGAGGAAAGCCCATGGGCAACACCATCCACTCCAGCCACCCCTTCCACTCCTCCAACTCCTACTGAACAGGAAGGTGATGGCCTCTCCTACAATCAGCGCAGTCTGCAGCGTTGGGAGAAGGATGAGGAATTGGGAAATCTATCTACCATCTCGCCTGTACTATATGCTAACATGAACTTCCCTAGTTTCAAACAGGACTACCCTGGTTAGTATTAAACTGACTTTTAGAAGTGTTGTAGTAGGTGTTTCTGTCAATTAATCACTTTACTGCTCAAAATATAGAGAGCTTACACAGTTAAAGATTTGTTAGGTCCGCTTCATTATTTCCTTTCTATTCATAGACTGGGCCAGTCGCTGTAAACAAATAATGAAGATTTGGAGGAAGGTATCAGCAGCAGACAAGGTTCCTTATCTGGTAGGTGCAAGTTTGAATCTATAGTGTAACTTTAAATTTGATTTGACCCTTGTGGAGTAGTATTTTATATTATTATTTTATAGTACTGCCTTTGTTCTCTAACAGTTTGCTTTTGTTTACAACTTTCCATTATCCATTCAGCAAAAGGCCAAAGATAATAGGGCTGCTCAGAGAATAAATAAGGCACAGAAGGTAAGTGGCCTTCTATTCAAATGCACTGTATAATCATTTGATGTGTTTGCATTGTAATTGTACAAATTTTTCTTTATTCTAATCAACAGCAGGCAGAGAGTCAAGTATGTCGGCCTATCAAAACTGAGCCTGGCTGTATTAAAGGGGAGCGCCCTAATCTGCACCTCCAAATTCCCCCACCCTCAGGCTCTGTATCCACACCCTCCCAGCCGAGCTCTGCTGAGAGTCCTTACCCTCTTGCCCCTGACTCTGCATCTTCAGCCTTTTTTCCCGATGGACCACTCAAGACTCCTTGCTCAGCTGATGTGCAGACAGACCCATTTTCTAAACTTCCCTCTCAGTCTCCGCACCTTCAGTCTCAGCCATCCACCCCATACTCACATCCTTCTTCCAGCCCCTTGCAGGCCTCTTCCTCAGGATATCCTATGCCTGGCCCACAGGGTGCTACTCAGGGACGGCCAGCCAACTTTGGCTCCCTTGACATGCAACCAGGGACTCCTCGCAGGGCCCAGCAGGTTGACCCATTCTTTAAATCACAACAGCAGATCCCCAAACCTCAGCAGCCCTCTCAGGAGGCCTTAGGTCCACCTGAGAGTCCTCGATCTAGGCCTGGAGACTCGCAGATGTTCTCACCACCTCATACAGGCCTTTGTGGTGACCCTTACCGTGGCCAGCATGGAGCTAGCCGACAAGATCATGCTTCATCTCCATCACCATATGCGATAGCTTCTTCACCTGCTGGGGTGGGTCCAAATAGGGCAGAAATTAATGCCCCATCTCCATGTTCTTCATTTGGCAGACAAGACCTAAGCTCTGGTTCTCCTGCTAGTTTGGACTCTGAAGATGGGCTATTTAAAGCTCCCATGACACCTCGTATGCATCAGGGGGATGCAGGTGGATTACCTGTTTCACACCCTCCAGGTGCCTCTCCTAATCATCCTCCTGAGAGCTACCGCCAATCGCCCTCTACGTTCTCTGACCCTTACGCCCAGCCTCCTCTCACACCGCGACCTCAATCGGGTGACGGCTCCTCTCCTCTACCCCAGAGGCTTCCTGCGCCTCAGCAAGAAACATACTCAAGATTGCCTTCCAGCCCTCAGTCACGAGGCAGTTCTCAGTCGCCTCTCACACCAGGAGCCATTTCCAATGATGTGCTTTCTGTGCAGTCACCAGCCACTCCACGCTTCCAGTCACCTGACCCCTACTCCCGCCCACCTTCACGACCTCAGTCCAGAGATTCCTTCACTTCGTTGCATAAACCCCCCCGCCCATCTTCTGTAGCACCAGAAGGTAACTCTCCCTTTAGAGGCTCACCTCATCCTAGCCAGCAACCCCCCTGCTCACCCTCAGTAGCAGATCCGCTCTCTGGAAAACCCCCTGCTTTCAGCTGCAGTCCTGGTGTAGGGCTTCAAATGGGCCAGCAACAAGTAATTGGCCAGCAGCAGATGATGACTCCTCAGCAAGCTCAGGTCCACCTCCAGCAGCCACAGTCCCAGACACAACCAGTGGGTGCTGAATTTAACTCAAGAATAGCACTTACACCTGGAAACCAAGAAGCAAGTGTGCGGGCAACAGATGCTCCACATTTACCCAACTTGCCAGGGGTGCAGGATATGTCAGACCTGTCAGCTGGACAGGATCCAGCTCTCATGAGCCTTAGTCCATCCGAGTTAGAAAAGCACAGACAGGTAAAGTAGACACTGAGTAGATGTGTAAATTTAAAAAGAGTTTTGGGTAGAATGAGTTAGGTTTTCATTTTACTTTTGTGTCTTATGTACCACAGAGGCAACGATTAAGAGAGTTTTTAATAAGACAAAAAATGCAGAGAAACTCACTCCGCCAAGAGAAGGAAGCACCTGTGGTGGGTAATCCTGCTCAGAGTTGGCCAGGTGTGGAAATGCCGGCCTTTCAGCAAGACAAAAGCCAGCGAGCACCACCTCCTTACCCTCAGGTATTAATATTGAATTAATATTGAATGGGATGTACTGAATCTGAATCTTGGCTGCACAATTTGATTTAAAAAAAGATTTGTTGCGGTGCTTTTATAGGGCTGCACAATTTAGTCAATTTTTGTGATTGCCATAACTTTAATAATATTATAGACAAGTAAAATATGTAAAAGAAAAAAATTATAGAATTTTATTTTACAATACAACTGTCAAATTATTCCAACACTAATATTTACGACAGTCTTTATTAATTTTCAAATGTTAATCCATCAAGCTTTTATTTAGGTGGAAAATCACAAGGAGTCCTTAAAGTCTCCCTTTGTTGACAGCAGACAGTTTATAAGCGCTTCTCATTACAAGTTTGGGAAAATGGTTGGCACATATTGCATTCTCAAATGCACACTGAAAACAACCCAAACTCCGAGCACATGCAGAGATGAGTTCATGTGGAACAGCATTTATTTAACTAATTTGTGTGTTTTGTGTGATTTGATGATCACATTAAGCCATATCACGATTTTTGGTTTTGTTTCTATTGATCGTGCAGCCCTAGAGTAAACAGCCAAAAGTGTTTTGTTAGTTGGCATAACATCATCTTTTGTCCATCAGGACAGAGCTGTGGTTGCTCAGGCAGCCCTTGCCACCAGGATGCCTCCGCCAGTGGGAGCAATGGATGAAAAGCTCTGCCGCCCACCTCCTCCTGGAACACCAGCAACTATGGACCCCAGTGCATTAAGGTAGATTGAACTAATTAAATGCTACTGATTTTGATTACTTTGTGTTTTTACACAGTCCTTGTACATGTTACTTCCACACTGATCATTTCATAATCAACACTTTTCTTGTAGGCAAGCTGGGCCCAATATTTCTCAGGGGATGTATCCTCGTCCACCATTTCCTGCACAGTGGCAAAACCAAGGTGCTCCGCGGAGGTTCCCACAGCCATCTATGATGGAAGCCGTTCCCAGACAGCACCTTAATACTCCCATCAACAATCCTCTTAACATACAGTCCATGCAGAATGTGCCCAATCCTTTGACGGGGGTTCCAGGCACTGGCGCAGAGGCTGTACAAAGCCATGTGTCGGGAGCTCCACCTCAGTTTATAGAGCTGAGGCATAATTCCCAGAGGATGCCACTGGGTCCTCAGTTTATGCAAAGGGCGCCTATACCGAGACCACGCATGTTTCTTCCACAGCAGGAAATGAATGCTGCTTTTGTTCAGCAGAATTTTCCCCCTTCTCTCGATGCTTCAGCGAAGGGAACGCGTGATCCCAGAATTGGGTTACAGCAGGGTGGCATGGACCTACTGATGCAACAACAAAGCAATGTACCCCCTTCTCAGTCTCAACTACAGCCACAGCAGGTGCCAACTACTATACCCAAAACTCCCATTTCTCACACTACTACTCAACAGCTTCGTCAAACAAGTACAATAGGAGGTCAGCAGACTGTTGTGAATCCAGTTGACCTACCTGAGTCTGACCTAGGGCTGGGTGATACAGTGGCAGAAACCGGAGTGGAGGATGATGATCTTGCTACTCTTGACCTGGATCCTGATAAGGGTGATGATGATTTGGCAAACCTTGACAATCTTGAGACCAATGATCCTCATTTGGATGATCTGCTCAACAGTGATGAATTTGATTTGCTGGCTTACACTGACCCTGAGCTTGATCAGGGTGATCCCAAAGATGTTTTCTCTGACCAATTACGACTTGTGGAAGCAGAGGGGGAAGGACCAGGGTCTTCTGCTAAAGTAGAAATCAAGGTTGAAGAGAAACCAAAAGTGGATATAGCTTCCCAGGACATGCACACAACTGCCACTCAACCACCTTTAAAGACTGAGACTTCATCTACCAAAACGCCGAAGGTAGAGTCTTCTGATGTCATTAGGCTATCCTCTGTAAAACTTGAAGACAAGGGATTGATTGAACAACCACAGTCAGGACAAGCTCCTGTTAAAGATGACATTAGTGAAACAGTGTCTGTTTTGCTTAGTGGAACAAAAGCCTCTAATCAACCAGAGACTGCAACTGCTTCATTGAACACAGTCCGTTTAGGTGGCATACCTTTTCCTCTTCCCAGCCAAGCAGATGCACTGTCTTTTCCACCAACTGCACCACATCCGGACCTGGGTGATGATCCACTTGGATTGCCAGATGCTGGCCACCACTCTGCAGCAGATGATCTTGACAAAGTAGAAAGCTCACTGGAAGCGAGTGAACTACCTTTGTTAATACAAGATCTTTTGGAACATGAAAAGAAGGAGCTTCAGAAGCAACAACAGCAGCAGCAGCAAAGTGCTCTACAAGGAGGGATTGGTAGTCAACTTCACAGCATTCAGAATCAGCAACAGCCTCCACAAGGGTCAAATCAAATTATGATGCCACAGCACCACCATCCATCCCAAGGCATAGTGCCTCAAGCTGGTATGGTGCCCAGGCCACCTCACATGTTACCACAACAGCAGCAGAGGTTAATTGGTGCTGCAGTGCCTTCACCTCCCCATGCAGCGATGGGACAACAGCAAGGCATTTTACGGGGTGTACAGCCTGGTAGAATTCATCCTGGTCTTACTCCTCAGCAGCAGACAGCACCACCTCCACATATTGTTAAACAGCAGAACTTGGCCAGCAACTTTTTCCCAGATAAAGGTATGCTGAGTTCCATCAACTTTTATTCAAATTTTGTTATCACAATAATGAATGTGTTTTTGTAAATATAAAACTTTTTTTTTTCTCAGATCTGGATAAATTCATGACAGATGATATAAAGGATCCTATTGCGAAGGCTAAAATGGTTGCACTGAAAGGAATTAAAAGGGTGTTGGCTCAAGATCCTATGGGTGTACCACCAGGAATTAATAGGTACTGTTTTTGTCTTTGACATACTGTCATAAAAAAAAAAAACACAAAAAACAGAATTTAAATTTGAAGTGAAAATTGTAAGGTTTCTTTTTTAACATCTATTGTATGTGTATTAATAAACCTGTACATAGAGTTCAGACATAAGAAAAACAATGGTCTAGGCAGGTTTTTACAGTTTAAATCAGGAAATTGTTTTACAGACGTGACAAAAATTGACAACATTTTGAGATGCATTACACCTTGAAAAATTCATTTTCTTTCTTTTATAACTTTAATTTGAAAAATTTGGTGCACACCTCATATGGTACAGTAGATGCATTATGCAATTGATCTATTATAGCTTCTTAATACAGTAATATAGATCTAAATGTAGTATTTAGATTTAGAAGTGGTTTTGTTCCTTTGCTAAATTTCCTAGTTGACATTTCCAAAAAATTGCCCACTTAGTTCTGTTTCAGATTTAATTTCAATTTTATTTAACTTTAGGCAACAAGCGTCTCTTTTGGCTCAGAGGCTAACCTCTGCCCCTGGAAATGAGGATTCCCAGGCTCAGCTTGCTCCTGGGTCTTCCAAGGTAAGTTTAGTATTCTTCTGTAGTTCAAGATTTTTTTTTTTTATTTGTCACATACATGGTTATATAGAGAATATATGACCAGCAGTGAAATGTAAGTCAGGTCCGCTCCATGGACAGTGCAATTATTAAAGAATGCAAACACAAGAAAAATATATATAAATATAGGTATGGAAAAAGTAAGATTAAAAAAATAAGAATAAAATAAAATGCGCAGGACAGTATACTGTAGACTTAATAAATATTAAGATGAGCAGGAATGTACAAGAGAAGAATGTGCAAACAGGTTGTACAGGGTAGTTACATAGCAGCAATAGGGGTAAAAAAGTAAATCAATAAAATATTACAGAAATTGCTGTGGCTCAGCTAAGCGCACAACTCTCTGCAGGGCTTTGCAGTCTTGACTGTAGCTGTTCCCATACAACACTGAGATCCACTGAGTCAATACACTTTCTATGGCCCCTGAATAGAAAGTTTTCAGGATTGCTGGCGAAACCCTGAATTTTCTCAGCTGTCGCAGATGGTACAGTCTTTGCCTGGCTTTATTAACCTGAGTTTGGATGTGTGAAGTCCAAGTCGGGTCCTCTGAGATGTTTACACCAAGGTACTTGAAGCTGCTCACCCTCTCCACTGGGGTCCCAATGATCATAAGAGGAGTATAGGGCCGCTGCTGTCTCTTCCTGAAGTCCACAATCAGCTCTTTAGTTTACTCACATTCATAGAGAGACAACACATTTCATTTGAAGTTCACATTTCATTTGAATTTAATATAGTATCTTAACCTTAATCCTTCTATTTCAGGAGGGAGAAGGCAGCAACCAGGTTCAAACAAGACCAAATCCTCCGCAATTTGGCATCATCAGTATGTTTTGCATTTCTTTTTTTTTTTTTTAGTAAACCACCCCTTCAATGCTATTATTGCCCTTTCCCTTATTTAAATATTACATTCCCTATGTAAACACACATTTAGAGTCTTATGATTTTGGCAGTGCTGAAAACAGTCCAGACAATAAAATGGAACTCTGATTTCTGATTGCAGAAATTTGACACAATTTCAGAGTCTAGATTATAACATGGAAGTCTGACTGTGTTGCATAGTAGAAAACATAGGTTGCTCAGAATTGTGCACAGTGTATAGGCACACGTTGTGCATTTAGGTTATAGACAGTTCAGTTTATTTCATGCTATTAATGTTCTTGGGCCATCACACTTATAACAGATGATGCTGAGCAGCACCAATATGAAGAATGGCTTGTGCACACCCAGCAGTTGCTGCAAATGCAGTTGAAGTTCTTAGAAGAGCAAATTGGAGCACATCGTAAATCCCGTAAAGCTCTGTGTGCCAAGCAGCGCACCGCAAAGAAAGCTGGACGTGAATTTGCAGAAGCGGATGCTGAAAAGCTCAAACTGGTCACTGAGGAACAAAGTAAGATCCAGAAACAGTTGGACCAGGTATGCAAAATGTCTTTTTACAAATATATGTGAGAGATTTTGTTATCTTGAAAGTCATTCAGCTAAGAACAATAAAATTGGCTTTTCTAGGTGCGTAAACAGCAAAAGGAGCACACCAATCTTATTGCAGAGTACCGAAGCAAGCAACAACAGCATCAGCAAGGGTCTTCCATACTAGCTCCAGGGCCCTCTACGCAGGCACCCCACGTGCTTTCCAAGATGCCTGGACAAATGATGATGGGACAACAAGGAGCACCAATTATTGGTCAACCGCCTGGAGGAATGCCTCAAGTAGGGATGCCTCAAGGAGGCATGCCAGTTAGAATGCCACAAATGCAACCTTTTGGTGGAGCCCAGCCTTCTCTCCCACTTGGACCTGGCACTGTGCAACCAGTGCCACCTCCTGTTTTTTTCCAACAAGCCCCTGGAGCACAAGGACCAGATTCAAGAGTCATACAGGAACGACAGTTACAGCATAGAATGCAAATGGTCCAAAAAATGCAGCAGCAACAGCAACAACAGTTGATGATGGGACAGCAGCCTATGTCACATCAACCTCAGCAGCCTGGTATAATGAATCCGCAGCCTGGAGCCATGGGCAACCAGCCAACCCAAGTTTTGATGGGCAATATGGGGCAGCAGCAACCAAGCTTACAACAAGGATTAATGAATAACCAGCAAAATCAGCAGGGGTTAATGCAAACGACTCCAGGTATGATGGGAAACCAGGCTATTGGGCAGACGCAACATAATGTCATGGGCCAGCCAATGCCTCAAACCGTAAATATGATTGCAGGCCAGCCACAGGGTATGGTTGGTAATCAACAAATTGTTCAGCAGCTTCAGAGACCTCAGGGCTTGATGGATCAGCACGGGCCAGGTGGACAGCATGTTGTTAGGGGGCCACCAACCCAACTCACGCCGCAACAACAGAGTGTAATGGCTCAGCGCATGCTCATGTCACAACAGCAACAGAATTCTGCAAAAAACCTTGTTCAACTTCAGCAGCAACAAATTTCACAACTGAAACAACCAATGCAGGTTGGTCCTTCTGAGCCACAAAGAGCTTTAGAAACTCCACAATCAGGGAATACCCAAGGGGTTACTGAGAACTTACAGCAAGGTGTCCAAGATCTTCAAAATCCTGATCATAAAGATGGAGGACTACTTAGTCCAAAAACACCGCCCCAGCAGGGTGGACCTCCTACACCACTTCAGATGCAACAACAGGGATCTAGTGGAGAGCAGCAAAGTGGTGTTGGACAGCCACAGCAAGCACATGCTTTTCTGGGCCAACAACAGACAGCACAGCCTCAGCCAAACCAGAATATTGGAGTAGCAGAACAACATGGTTTTGTGGGCAACCAACAGGCTGGATCTCATCTTAAAGTACAACCACAGCAACAACAGATGCAACTTGGTCTTCAGACCCAGAACACCATACAAATAAAACAGGAAGATCAGCAAATGTGCATTATGGCACAACAGCAAGCTGGTCAGATTGCTGCACAACAACCACAGGATGTACTTGGCCAAAATAGTGGTCAGACTCAAACTACAATGACCGGCATTACAAATCAACAGCAGCAAGCTCTCTTGACTCAACAGATGGGCATTCCTAGAGGCCAGCAGATGATGATGATTCCAAGGCCTGGTGCACCGACAGGGCAAATACGTGCCCCTATTAACATTCAGGCCTTCATTGCACAGAACCCCCAACTGCGTCACCTGACTCCCAACCAACAGTTGCAGCAAATTCAGGCAATGATTGCTCAGCGACAGCTACAACAAGGCCAGATGCTAAGAATGCAAGGTCAGGCTCAGGGACAAATGCGTCCCCAGGTCCCACAGGGGCCACCAGTTGGTCCACGGATGCCAGGTCTTGAAACCCAACAACAGCAGCACTGCTTTGGATTAGCAGGCAAACACGGTCCAGCTGGCACTCAACAGCAATCAGGAGCAATGGGACAATCATCTGGTATGGCTTCACAGTTTCATCAAGGTGTTTCGGGGGCTATGCAGCAACCTTCTCAAGGACCTTTGCCTCAGTACATCATTAGTGCCCAGCAGCAGCAGATGTTACAACAGCAACAATTACATCAGCATCAGATGATGAGGGGTCAAGTGCCCAGGCCAGTAATGGGTCATATTCGTGCCACAGCACCTGGACATATGGCTAGACCGATGTCTCCTCGCCAGTTAGTGGGTCAGGGTTCTCCTGGAAGCCCGCTTTCTAATCAGCAAAGGCTCATGAGAATTTGTCAGACTCCACCAGGCCCCCAGCACCTTCAGCAACAGCAGGCCCATGTGGCAACAGCACTGAGCCCCTTTCAAGCCTCTCCATCTCATGCGCGTTCTCCTGCAGGGTCTTCTGTTCCAGAACCTGGTTCAAGCCCAGCATCTGTACATAAACCTGAGCCGGACACCTTCTCCCTCTCTAGTCACTTGTCATTGCCTTCTAGGCCAGAAAATGTTGTAGGAAAGAGTAGCCCCTTTAGCCAGAGAGGGGGATCAGTAGCTTCACCTTTGAGATCTCCAATTGCCAAGACTCAGAGCCCCAATTCTGAAAATCTATCAGCTCCTTTTCCACTCAATGGTCCGTCTCCTCAGTCAGCACAGAACCCACACCAAGCAACAACTGCTGCCCAAGTATCTGACAGTCATATGTCTCAACCAACTCAACTGCTCAGTAAAATAACACTGCAAAACATCAAACAGGAACCACGTGAAGTCCAATGTGACACAGGAGGTAGTGTAGAAGCCCATTCTGAAGGCATAATGAGAGAAATTTCTGGAGGGGCAGTCACTGCTATTGCGAACTCTGTTCCAGGCTCTAGATGTCAAGCAGGAGATCTTGGATCCCAAATTCAAAGGACAGAGACTGGCCAACAGCTTCTACAGAAACTTCTTCGAACCAAAAACTTACAAATGGCTTCTCAGAGGCCCTCAGATGGCATTCATAATGAGATAAATGGGCACATCAATAGCAAGCTGGCAATGCTGGAGCAAAAGCTTCAAGGAACTCCACGCAACATGGAGGTATGACCAAGAAAGCCACTTGATTGTGTGCATGTACATTTTTTGAGCTTCTAATTTTTATCTGCTACTGTTTTTAGGATCTGCAGTCACTCACAAAGAGAACTCCAATAGTCAAGGCCAAACGTACCACAAAAGCTGGAGAGCGTGGGCCAAACTCTAGAAAGAAAACCAAGAAAGAAGAGGTTGGAAAAACTGAGGCAATAATGAAGCAGCTGAAACAAGTATGTGGCATTGGCTTATTGAATATTTGTTTCCTGTTTTAAGAGTGATGCTATGCTATGAAAACTTTGGATTAATATTATATTAAACCATTGCTCTCTTATGGTTAACCCACAGGGACTTTCTCTTCTTCCTTTGATGGAGCCCTCCATTACTGCTAGTCTGGATTTGTTTGCTCCTTTCGGCAGCAGTCCAGCCAATGCTAAGGCCCAGTTAAAAGGCTCATTTGGAAATGCTATGCTGGACAACATTCCAGACTACTATTCCCAACTTCTTACAAAGGTATGGCATAGTTTGGCATTTTGTATACCTTTCAGTACACAACGGAAGACATGTTCCTTATTCTGGGAATTCCAAAGACTGACAGAATAGGATGCAACCAGATTGTAATGACTGCAACACTTTTTTTTTTAATATCTTTTTTTCAACATGTAATATATCCATATTTTGATATGTTCTTTGTTTTTTTTTGTATTAGAACAACCTCAGCAATCCTCCAACACCACCATCATCCCTTCCTCCAACTCCACCACCTTCTGTGCAGCATAAGCTTCTAAATGGAGTGACACCTGTAGAAGAACTAGCAGAAGGTCAGAAAGAGACCGAGGCATCAGAGGATACCATGGGTAAGACACAGTATTGATTCTAATTCATTAGTGACACGGTTTGATGGCTGTTTTTGCACAGAAATTTTTTTCCTTGTACTTGAAGGTTCTGTTCCAGAAGAAGTTAAGAGTGTGGACATACTAGCAGCTCTCCCTACTCCACCTCACAATCAAAACGAAGATATACGGTAAATTACCAACTCTATAATGCAGTATGTTCCACAGAACAACTAATCTTAAACTTATGTATATGTCAGTGCACTAATGGATTCTTTCAACTCAGGATGGAGAGCGATGAGGACAGTGATGCTCCAGACAGCATTGTGCCCGCATCCTCACCTGAAAGCCAACTAGGTGATGAGACAACACGCTTCCCCCATCTGTTGGATACCAAAGAGGAGGACGATGAGAGGGTCATCTCTCCTGTTATACCCATTATTCCTCGTTCTGCCATCCCAAGTATGTGGTATCATTTGGAAATGATTTTAATTTGTTTGCTTGAATCTTCAATGACTGACTGACTTGCTGATCTTACCCATGTACAGGTTTTCCCGAGACAAAACCATTTGAGTCAGTGGATGGAAAAGTTGTAGCCTCATCCAGCCAGTGGGACAAAACCAAAAGCAATGAAGTGGCTGTAACCTTCATGCTTTCATCAGCTGCAGCAAAGGTATTCAAATCTCTAAATGTCTTTACCCCCACAAAAGCCTTAGGTAATTTTGTGTGACAATATTTAAGTACTGTTTTGAATTCTCCGCATCAGAATCTCAACACAGTGATGTTGGCTGTTGCCCAACTGCTGCACATACGTATGCCAAGTTCTTACGAGGCGGCTTTTCCCCAGAGTCCAGGTAGAGCAGGTGTTGAACCTGGGAAAGTACCTGACGCTTCCAACCCAGGTAATGCACTCGAGCTGTCATTCAACATTTTCAAAGTGTTGGCTAAATGTTAAGCTGCTGCTTTGTTTTTTTCCTTATGCTATGTTTTTCTTTTTTAAATCAGGTATGAAGGCGGACCCTTCTGCAAGCCACGATACAGAATGGCTTAGGCAGTTTGATGTTTCCCTCCCAGGGTGTACCCTGAGGAAACAAGTTGATATTCTTGCTTTCATCAAACAGGTGAGTTTCCTGAGAATTTCATTAGTTTTTTGTAAATGTTGTCTTGCTTTTGAGAAATACATTACATTTCTTCTGACATTTTCACACTTTTGCAGGAATGCCAAGAGCAAGAAGATAGACCTGCTCAGCACTGTTACATGACGAATGTTTCAGATCTGGATGTGCGCCACCTGCCTGTTATTCCTGTCGAGGTTTCTCCACCTCCATCACCATCGCCACCTCCACCTCCACCCCCATCATCTGCTGTAGCTGAGCCAGAAAATATCACTCAACCTGAGCCCAAACCTGAACCAGATGCACCAATTCAGACTGCATCATCCCCTTCCGCAAGCCTAAGTGCACCTGTCAAAACTGAATCTATAATTAAATTGGAGTCTCACAGCTCCCCTGTTGCACTGGAGTCTGAATCTCAGGAGCCTGTGGTCCTTCCCCAAGCTGCTCCATCAGAAGAACAACAACCTTCTGCTCCAGCCAGTTCTCCCCCTCTAGACTCCCCCACAATGGAGATGTCCCTCAAACCCATCAAACACCGTAGCAGGCCACTTTCTGATGAAGAAGAAGAACGACCCAAGGTCAAAAAATGGAAGGGTCTGCGCTGGAAGCGTCTCCAGATAGTCATCACTATTCGCAAGGGAGGCTCTAAGAAAGAGAACAGCCGTGAAGTTTCCGAGCTCATGGAGCGCCTCCGCATTACGCTGAAACCAGACAAGCTTCCCCGAGACAAGCGCAAGTGCTGTTTCTGCCACGAGGAGGGAGATGGTGCCACAGATGGTCCTGCACGCTTGCTTAACATCGATGTTGATCTGTGGGTGCATCTTAACTGTGCTCTGTGGTCCACTGAGGTGTATGAGACCCAGGGCGGTGCACTTATTAACGTGGAGGTTGCCCTTCGGCGTGGACTACGCACCCGCTGTGCCTACTGTCAGAAGACGGGTGCTACTAACAGCTGCAATCGTTTGCGCTGCCCGAATGTTTATCATTTTGCCTGTGCCATCCGGGCACGCTGCATGTTTTTCAAAGACAAAACTATGCTCTGCACCCAGCACAAGCTTAAAGGCCCCAGTGAGGAGGAGCTTAGCAGTTTTGCTGTTTTTCGACGCGTCTACATCGAGCGAGATGAGGTGAAGCAGATCGCAAGCATCCTGCAACGTGGCGACCGCATTCACATGTTCCGTGTTGGCGGGCTCATCTTCCATGCCGTGGGCCAGCTCTTGCCCTCTCAGATGGCTGCGTTTCACTCACCCACTGCTATCTTTCCAGTGGGCTATGAGGCCACACGCATTTACTGGAGCACTCGTGTGCCAAACCGCAGGTGTCGCTACCGTTGTCGCATCAGTGAGCAGGATGGCAAGCCCCTGTTTGAAGTGCGTGTACTGGAGCACGGGTATGAAGACCTGCATTTCCGAGACCCCACTCCAGATGGTATGTAAATCTAAGTTTATATTCTGAAATGACTGTAAATGTAATCCTAATGGAATGTTTTATCTTGGGAGCATAATGCTAATGTCATGCTTCTGCTCTTCAGGAATTTGGTCCAAGATTGTGCAGCAGGTTGCCAAGCTGCGTGATGAAGCAGCCATGTTGAAACTCTTCACCGAGCATGTCAAGGGAGAGGAGATGTATGGACTCACTGTCCATGCAGTGATGCGAATCACCGAATCGGTGAGAAATGAATAAGTATGGTTGGAAACAGAGAACTGTTAACAAAAGAACAGTTTACCATAGGGGTTGGCTATACACCGGTAGACACAATTAACCGGGAGATATTTGTCAACCGGTAGAGATTTTAGATTATCGTCTCTTGTTGCGGTTACATGCTCACGTGACGTTGCTGTGCAACGAAAACGCATTGTTTGCACGTATATTTAAGCTTTAAAGTTGAAAAACAATTGATTTTAAGCCATTGAAATGCAATCAGCAGCGAAAGATAACTCATTTCAATATATGTGCGCGCTATCTGAGAGACGCGCACGTGAAGACAGTGCTCATAGTGCGCGGGAGTATTGAGTTATTTTTGCTGCTTTATAGGCCTTGAACGGTTAAATACACACTTGTATGAGTCAAAATGCCCCTCTTTGCTGGTATCCTCGTAAACACAGTTATTTGGGTCTTAATTGAAAGCAAACAGCTGAGAAAGAGAACTTGTAACAGTATATTGGATCCGGGCAGCTCTTAAAGTGACAGCAGTCTAATATTCCTGCTGTCTGTCATTTATTTTAATCAAACAACAAAAGAGGAAATATCTCGCTGCTCTTCACTAAATCACTTTTGTAACTTTAATAAGAAGAAATAAACATTTAATTTACACAGTAAAGAATATGCAGTGTTTTATGCATTCAGTTACTTTATACAATGTATGTAGCATTTCCTATTTATTTGTTCTACTGTCTATTTTTTATATAATAAAGACCTTATTTAAAGTAAAAAAAACTATATCATGATTAGACATGTGCCGGTATTCGGTAATGCGATATATCACGATAATGAATATGCACGATATTGTTATCGTGGGCACTTCAAAATACAGAGAATAATTATTTATTACAAATTATTCCGAATTTTGAATGCATTTTAAGAATACTTTTCCCATCAACTGGTTAAAATGCACAACACCGCTGTATGCTGCTTCAAAGACGCATGCGCACTCTGATGTAAACAAGCACGGATGAAAAGCGCATAGTGGAACACGTGAGAGACGCTCTGAATGAAAGCGCACATTCACTCTCTGACAGCAGAAATGCAGCCTTTACCCCGGAAACCCCATAAACAAAGCAGCTGCACTACTTTCTGTTTCTGAAATGTTTAAATGATTTAAATAACCATTCAGATTTTTGTACTTGCTATGGTGTTCATCACAACGCCAAATACTTAAATATTTAGACTTAATAGGCTATTTATTTTCAAATTTCAAATTATTGTTCGGTCACACTTTACATTAGGGCTTCATTAGTTGACACTAGTTAATTCATTAGTTAACAAACTGCCAATGAATAATTATTCTAAACATTCGTTAATCTTAGGTAATTCCAATATTTAATAACACGTTGTTAAAATCAATAGTTGCAACTGTGTTATTTAATGAGCTAACATGAACTAAGAGTTGTATTTTTTTAACAAAGATTAATAACTTCTGGAATAATTATATATTACAAATTATTCCGAATTTTGAATGCATTTTAAGAATACTTTTCCCATCAACTGGTCAAAATGCACAACACAGCTGTATGCAGCGTGAAAGACCCGTGCGCACTCTGATGTAAACGAGCGCGGACGTGAAGCACATGGCGGAACATGTGAGAGACGCTCTGGATGAAAGCGCACTTTCACTCTCTGACAGCAGATGGCGCTAAACTGCAGAAATGATAATAATAATATAATAATTCATTTAAATGCAGCCTTTACCCCGGAAACCCTGTAAACAAAGCAGCTGCATTACTTCCTGTTTCTGAATCATGTTTAAATTATTTAAATAGCCATTCAGATTTGTGTATTTGCTATGATGTTCATCACAGCGCCAAATACTTAAATATTTAGACTTAATAGGTTATTTATTTTCAAACTTTTTTTACATTTTAATCTTTACTACAACATGCCCTAGATATTGTTTGAAAGTGTTTTGATTCTTTATTGTTCGGTCGCACTTTACATTAGGGCTTCATTAGTTAACATTAGTTAATTCATTAGTTAAACTGCCAATGAAAAATTCTTCTGAACATTTATTAATCTTAGGTATTCCAATATTTAATAACATGTTGTTAAAATCGAAAGTTGCAACTGTGTTATTTAATGAGCTAACATGAACTAAGAGTTGTATTTTTTTAACAAAGATTAATAACTTCTGTAGCAAATGTAGCTATTGCTCATTGTGAATGTTAATGCATTAACTAAGGTTAACTAATGAGATCTTATTGTAAAGTGATACCTATTGGTCTTTATAATTCTTTTGTACTTTAATCTGTGTAAAATTTTTAACTTTATAAATTTTTTTTGTGTATTGCTTTATTGTATTTAAATGTTCAGTTATTTTTGTTAGAAGAAAAAAGTTATTAAACCTGTTATACTGTATTATGACAACACTTTTTTGCAACTAAATTTCAACACCGTGATAATACCGTATACCGTGATGAAAGCATTAGCAATTAATCACAACATGAAAATTTGATACTTGCATATAACCTAATCATGATATATATTGTTACCGTGAAATAAATTTACTCGTATTGTGATATAAGATTTTGGTCATATCGCCCAACCCTAAGTTAACATATAATTACTTATAATAATAGTTTTCTTAAATGGCTTTATTATAATAATGAACAGTATTGTTATTTTTTTGTTACTCTTACCTATGTCCTTCAGCTTCCTGGTGTGGAAAACTGTCAGAATTATACGTTCCGATATGGCCGCCATCCTCTCATGGAGCTTCCACTCATGATCAATCCTACAGGCTGTGCACGATCAGAACCCAAAATTCTCACCCACTGCAAAAGGTAATGAACAAAAGAAATTGAAGACCTTATGTGTCGGATAAGTATGGTTTGGAGATTGTAAGGTTCTAATGTAATTTTTTTCCTGCTTTTCAGGCCTCATACTCTGAACAGCACGAGTATGTCCAAAGCCTATCAGAGCACATTTACAGGAGAGATCAACACCCCGTATAGCAAGCAGTTTGTTCATTCTAAATCTTCTCAATATCGTCGGTTGAAGACAGAGTGGAAGAACAATGTGTACCTGGCCCGTTCTCGCATTCAAGGACTGGGTCTGTACGCCGCGAAAGACCTTGAAAAACACACCATGGTCATTGAGTACATTGGCACCATAATTCGCAATGAGGTTGCAAATCGCAGAGAGAAGATTTACGAGGAGCAGGTTTGCACATGTCAAGCTTCCAACATATATTTGCTCTAATTGTCCTTTCTTTTTCTTCTAAACTCGATATTTTCTTCAAACAGAACCGTGGGATCTACATGTTCCGCATTAATAACGAGCATGTGATTGATGCCACCTTAACTGGCGGTCCTGCCCGGTAAGATCATACTTCCTGTGCTCTTCTTGCAATCCAAGTGTTTGATTTGGGTCTTAGTTTCTGAATTCTTCCTCTCCCTAGTTATGTTAATCATTCTTGTGCACCCAACTGTGTCGCGGAAGTTGTGACGTTCGACAAAGAGGACAAGATCATCATCATATCCAGTCGCAGGATCCCAAAGGGTGAAGAGGTTAGTTACAGTAATCTTTTCATTTTTTGGCATTGCTCTCAGTGCTGTTCCCCAGTGTAACGCTTTATATCGTCCTCTCTCAATCTGTTTTAGCTGACATATGACTATCAGTTTGACTTCGAGGACGATCAGCACAAGATCCCCTGCCATTGTGGAGCCTGGAATTGCAGAAAGTGGATGAACTAACAGGGACAGAGAAAGAGTCCGACCCGTCTTTGCTCCCTGGTGCCAGAACACTCCTGCGCCAAAGCCTGTTATATTCTTACTATCCAGTTAATAAGCTGCTCTAAATTGAGGAAGAAAAGTTCACTCTCAGTCACCTGAACGACAAGACTTTGTTATTCACAACAAGAGCCAAAGCTTTGAAGAGTAAACTTTTGATGCCACAACCTTTTACAGATGAGCTCAAAGGTATTGGACCTGCGTGAATCTTTCGTGTTGATTAAAAAGTACACCTCTGCCAAAAGCACCTCTACTTCCTCCACTGTTTCCTCCTACAATAAGCTGACTCTGGCTGCAATCGATCCCTTCGACATCTACCAAAATACCTGAAGCTATAGCATATCAATACACTTAGACTAGAACTCAGTGAAGATGTTTGATTAAAGCCATGCAAGTACTCAAAAATGAACTAGTACACTTTAGCTTGGACCTATCCTTTCCGCTACCACCCTTTCCGTCACCCCAGACGAACGCTTTCCCATCAAATCATCAATGAAGATCGTGGACATTGGCAAGACAATCCTGGAGTGGCTCTGCGTAGAACTGTGACGAGATATGATAACGTCGAAATACTATTGACCTGTGGCTCGAAAGGCACCAGATGTTTTATTATATTGAGTTAAAAGGTGGGTTTATTTCACCCAGTCTACCTCATTGAGTTTGTGGGACGTCACTGCTTTGTATTAAAACTGTTAAGTGCTACTGTGGAAAGGGGAAGGCAGGAATGTGTTCATGGCAATTGCCTTCTCGGATAAGCAGGGAAACTTAAGCAGCAGGTTTGCTTCTATCTATATTTTACTTTCTGATGATTACAATAGTGAGCCAGTGCAACTGTTTTTGATTTGATTATACAAATGAGATACAGTATATGACGATGCATTACTTGGAGCAATCAAAACTCAAACGGGTGTCTCAGAGGCCACCTTTTTCCGACTGTAGATATCATGTAGCTGCGTCAACACACATGCGGATCATGCTTTTAGTGTAGAAACGTTCATCTGGATTCTCTCGCGTTCTTGACCACGGAGCAAATTATGAGAAAGGGCCACAGTGCGGATCCACGTTGGTGCAATTTGAAAGATTATAGGGCAAAAAAAAAACAAACTAGTGATGCAAGACTGCCACTGCATTCAACATGTTTTCCCATCTTGAATCCTTCCATCCTGCGTTCATTAGATCTCCGTATGGATCTCATCACTCCAACCAGGACCCTTAGGTGTAAAGCCTCTTCCCTTCTGTGATAGTGGACTGTTGTAAACTTACTGTAGTGAGTCTTTCTCTGCCTGCTGACGGCCAGTTGTATCTAATCTATGTATTGTGGTTTGATAGTGGTAGCACAGTCTACAGGCTTGACGCAGTGATAGAGGAAGACTTCAAAAGGGCATTTCTATTTTCTTTTATATTAAAGTAAATTAAAACAGTAAAAAAAAAAAACAGTTGAATTTCAAATAAGGGAGTTGAACAAAGTCTCCACATAGCCCATGCTACTTTGTTCCTTTCTCCCCTGACTTATGACCTCACATTAAGAATAAATGCAAAATGTATAAACTGTACATAATAGGGGTCTAAACTCTTTATCCAGCCCCTTTTTAATCAAATTCAAAATTGTAGAGAGATAAAATTCATGAAAAAAAGCAACCACTGGATATCATTTTATCAGAAAACTAAATGTGTATATATCTATAAATATATGTAAAATGGCAAACTAAGTAATATCTTTATGTATATGAACCAGAGTGTTTTTGCATTTAACTTTTTTTTTTCTTTTTTTTTTTCCCTATCTGCGTTTTTTCCTACAAGACCATATACAGTTGAACTAAAAAGGTGTGATGTTTCTCTTGTCTTCACCAATGAATTTTGGAAGACTTGTGGTGGTGAATGGCAAACATTTAAGATGGGATTCATGCAAAGTTTTTTCATGGAAATAGATACTACTTTTTTGTTTTGTTTTTGAAAGATACAGCAGTAAAATGGTGCATAGCATTTGCGTATTTATGTAATATTGTTCACGTATATTTCTTTTATTTATGCGACTGCTTGTGAATTACTGAACCCTGTCCTTGAATCAGTGACAGTTTAATTAGCATATACAGTAAATGGAAAATCTTGAATGTCCCAAGATGATACTGTTTTTGATTCGTGTCCTGTTGTTTTCTTCCCCTCCCCTCCCTGTAGAAGTGAATGTTTTATATGACTTATGAAAAGGCCGCATAGCCGGACAATGGTATGACTTCAATAATCGAAAATATCTTCATTAATTACATGTGAATTGCACTCAGCATTATTTTATTTATACATCCTCCGAACTAGCATTGGTTCTTTTAAGGGTAGTCTGTTAATAAACATGGGCGCTTACTGGATTTTAAGTAACTCTTGCCCCCCTTTGTTCTTTTGAAATCTCTTAATTTAAGCTCTCTACTCGTGTTGTAATTAAATAAATCCTGATTTTGGTTTTCAACCTGATCTACTTTTTAAAAAAGATGCTGCAACTGTACAGCAGAGCTACTTTTAGGGAATATGAATAAAATGGTAATTTTTATTGTATGTGGCATGTTTTGTATGGATATAATTTTGAATTGTACATATTTTTTGACGTCAGAGGTTGCATCTCTTTATATACGGCTGTCCCCTTCCCTCCCAGCCCTCCATTTATTTCTGTCTCTGCTTTCTTTCTTGTAAAGAAAAATAAAATGCATTTTAAATATAAAGTTTTCTGTTGTCACGTAAAATTTAATGCGTAAACATTTTGAAGCTTAGAAAGTTTTCACTTTGAGTGGCATCTTTCGTAGGCAAAATTTGAATAGAAATTCACAATTTTATATATAAATTGTAAATTATATATAATTATGGTACTATTTTAGAATTATAAAATGTTAATTCTAAATAAAGGCTTAGTTCACCCAAAAATGAAAATGCTGTCATTAATTACTCCCCTTCATGTCATTCCAAACCTGTAAGACCTTCGTTCATCTTCAGAACACAAATTAAGTTCGTTTTGATGAATTCTGAGAGCTTTCTGACCCTCCATAGAAAGCAATGTAACTGAAATGTTCCCAGACCCAGAAACGAAGCAAGGAAATCGTTAAAATAGTCCATGTGACATCAGTGGCTCAACCGTAATTTTATGAAGCTACAAGAATACTTTTTGTGCAGGAAGTAACGACTTTATTCAACAGTTGTTCTCTTCCGCGTCACCATCCTCCGCCAATATGGAGAGTACCACGACGCATGCTCTCGATATTGCCTCTCGGATTTCATCAAAAATATCTTAATTTGTGTTCTGAAGATTAACGAAGGTTTTACGGGTTTGGAACGACATGAGGGTGAGTAATTAATGACAAGAGTTTAAATTTTTGGGTGAGCTATCCCTTAAGCTATTGGAAAGAATCAATGAAACAGAAATAAGAAAAAGGATTTATTACTGTATACCATTTATGTACATTATATTAACTAACCCACAAGTGGATTTGTTTTCAATGTTTAAAATACACATGGAACCTCAGGATCAAAAACTCGTATGCATTGGATTGAAAGCATCGGCTACCAAGTCTGAACTCTTATCAAGACTAAAATGGACAAACATGTCAAGAAATTTAGACTAAATTGCCTCCACAAAGTGGCAGTAAATACCGTCTGAAACAAGTGTCATTCCTTAAAGGCACAATATGTAAGATTTTTTTAATTAAAATATCCAAAAACCACTAGACCAGTGTTATATATTTTGCTGGCTTGTGTACTTACATTATCCCAAATGTTTCGAAGAATGTTTAAATCAGAGAAATAAGTAATTTTAACTAGTGACACGGACCGTGTCCATAGTGTCATTGTGTGGCCTGCCAATGACGTCATACACCTAGGGCTGCACGATTAATCGAATGCGATTGTCATGCGCATTTTGTTAAAAAATGCTTTCAGATGGAGCAGAATTTACTACACAGAGCCGTAGTTCACTAACGACCGGTGACTACCGCACAGAGTAGCATTATAAAAGAACTTTCAAATGTATCTAGTATTATAAAACAGCGCTGCTTACTTCCGCTGCTTTCCGG